TGGTGATTCATTTAAGGGATAGTCCGACACAAAATCAAAAATACATATTGTTCCTCTTACCTGTAGCTCTGTTTATCAGTCTAGGCTGTTTTGGTGTAGACATGTCTGCCTTTTTTTGAATATCATGGAACTAGATATCACTACCTATGGTGCTAAAAGCACCAAAAAGTTTTTGTTTGCATAACTTAACAGCAATTTCAATTTCCAGAAATTGTAACTTGGTTACTTGAGACAATCTACAGACATTGTTGTAAGCGCTTTCATGTAGGAAATATTTATTTTTTTACTAAACAACACCCCCAACCATATCACCAGAAGGAAGTGTGCATCTACTCATGGACGAGAGGCTCGTGCTACTGACAGTGCGAGATGTAAACATTAGTGGTGTCTCCTTCAGCTGATCTGTAATGTTGCTCAGTGGTGCTAGGTTAGCTAGCAGTAGATGCACACTTCCTTCTGCGCAGCGATACGGTTGGTGGGTGTAGTTCAGTAGAAAGAAAATAGTTCCTCCATGAAACGCTTACATCAAACTCTGTGGATTATCTTCAGTAACCGGGTCATGATTTCTGGAAAGAGACATTGCTGTTGAGTTTTTCAAATGTTTTTTTTTTTATGTGGCACTTTGAGTACTACAAGCTGAGTGCCATCTAGTTCCACTGTATTGGAGAGAAGGCAGACATCTCTACGGTCAATATCTCCAACACTCAGCAACTCACACCAAAACAATGTTAGTTGATACATAGCTCTACAGGTAAGAGGAAGAATATATATTTTTCAATCTTGGGATGAACTGTCCCTTTAAATTGTCATTTGGTGCCATGATCAGGATAGGCTGTAATTTTATCCAATACTTTGTTTTATGGCCATTCCCCTTGAAACTAACATTCTAATTAGATAATGATAGCATGCTAACATGCTAAATTAAGATGGTGACAATGGTATCAGCATTGTCATTGTGAGCATGTTAGCATGCTGGCATTAGCATTTAGCTCAAAGCACTGCTTTTCCAAAACAGACCGCTAGCCTGGCTGTAGACTCTAAGTTATTTGATTTATTGAATCATTTGGAGTATTTTTGACCAGTTTATGTTTTTAGGAAATTCATTTTTAACTTTTGAGAGCATCTTCTAGTATTTATAGCCTTGGTACTTGCCTTTTATGATCTGTGTGAACTCACTGTACTCACTTTAGTGCACTTTAATGGAGTACAGGCAGGCATATGTGACAAAACCTAAGAATTTGGATTTGATTGTGTTTCATATAGTCAATATGAAAACAAACAAAAGTATACCCTCAGTTCTGGTATCGATTTTGCAGATGGCTGAGGATATTCCTACTTCACCGACCAACACTCACACCACAACAACCTTTGTTGGGTGTCATTTTTCCCTTGAACAGTATTTTTACACTGAGCCATTCTTCTGCTCACAGCCAATTTTCCACTGGACCTCCATGATGTTGCCGGACCAGGTTGCAGATTTATGACACAATTTTCACAGCTTCTATTAAATGATGTAATTATTACCACTATGTCCCTTTACAGCCCAGGTTTATAGAGGCCTCTTACAACACCTACTCGCTATCTTGATGTTAGGTTGACTAGCTCCACCTCTGCCGTTACTTTTTACCTGCGATCGAAATTAATTAAGTGTTGCTGTGATTGACAAATGGCTTGCAGCGCTCAAGAGCTCGCCCGAATGCCTACTGCTGCCATCAAACCTCACACTAAATTTTGCAGAATAGCCTGGAGCAGGAGGGGAAATGGGCTTGTGTGCTTTTAGGCAAGGCTGTGAACTTATTACTTAACGAATGTCACACTCACAGAGTAGTGCTGCATAGAACATAGGTTTTTTGTGTGTGTGTGTATTGTGGTCATCAGTTCAGAACTTGTATAGACCACTTTAGTTTACTAATCATGCTACTTTTGATAAACCAACAGGAGGGAAAATCTTGTCGGGGAGTCTTTTTGGCTATGTGTGAAAAGAGTTGACACCTGATGAGTTGTCATATTACACCCTGACTGGACGTCACAGGATCCATGTCATATTTAGAGCCTGTCTTTTACACTGATGACCTACAATGTGCTAAGAGACTTGTTAATAAGTAATGTAACCCAGTGAACTTGTTGCTCGTGACTTGCAGTGATGCCATAATTAGACAGCCTTGAACTTGTGCTGCTACTGTATATGTTTACACGTAGATACACACAAAAGCATTTCTTTTCATCTAACTGCATTAGCATATACAGTAGCCCAAAGCACCTCTATGCAACACTATGTGTTCAGATTCACAGAGTCTCTAGCATGACTGGAGTAAGAGTCTACAGCCATCCTAGATGGCAATCAAATAGAGTGGTGCAGGGATGACGTGTTTTTGGAGGCCAACCCAAAAGTTAGGATGACCCTAGTTCCCGTCAACAAAAAGCCAATAGGATTTTTTTTTAAAATTCCTTTTAATATATTAGTGAAGAGACACTGACATGTTTTGTACAGCAAGATAATCTTCACAAAAGAACAACACTTTCAGAATTTTTGATGCGTAAATACAGTTGCCAGAAGAAAAAGCCATTAGGCTAGGGGTAGGCAACCTGTTTTAATTTTCATATCTCAATACTGTGGCCAAAAGTGATTCTGACATTCTCCAATTGTAAAAAAACAAAAAAATGTGTAGCCTATACACTGAATAATAAAATTGTTTCATTTCAGCAACTAAAATATGCGTCAATTGTCTTCAGCCCAGCGCCTTTTGCCAAATGTCATTAGCAGTGGCTATAGTAGTCTTGAGTCTCCCTCACTTCCAAATCCAAAAAAAGAAAAGTATCAGAATAAAACAGAATTTAATTGTGTGTGGAGAGATTTGTTTGCTTTTTGCACGGACTCTGCAAAGTCAAAGTTCCAAGTAATTATTAATAGCCTACTGCAGTGCCCCCTGGTGGTAAAACTGATTAACGAATTCTCATTTAGACCTTTTGTAATTTTGACAGCCAGTTTAGATTGAATAAACTGTATTACCTTCATTATTGAGCTTAATATGTTTTTGGCATCAGATAGATTTTTGATCAAAAATGGCTCTTTTGGTAGTAAAGGTTGCCAACTGCCCTGCGTTAGGCTATTAAAAAACTATGACAGGATCCCTTGACTTCAACATTGCCACCACAACAAGGCTGTAAAGCCGTGGTCAGCAACAACCCTAGTCTCATTTAACCCCTTGTTAGCAACTGCTTTTTTTAAGACACTTAAAAGCTTCAAGATTCACAAATGGGGTATTTACTGACATATTTTTCCTTGGAGAACAAAACATGAAAATCACTTCTTACAGTCATCTAACCAAAAATCCCTTCCAAACACCCAATGACTTAGGCAAAGGAACCAGAAGACTCATTCCTGCACCACTTTATATCAGCTGCTCACATTTTCTGTAACTTAGCATGTTTATTGCAAACCTGTTGTGTGTGCTTGCGTTCGGGTTCGTGTTCTTGTTCAATTTACTTAGCATTCATATCATTAGCTAATCATAACAGTTGTTTTCAAGTCTACCAAATCCTCTCGCTGCCTTTATGAGCTGCATCTTTAAACTATTGGAGTGCAAAAATACATTGTTGTTGTCCTGAAGAACCAACTACGAGGCAGTCTTGTGCCTATGTGAACTTCTAAAGACCCTCGCCTCTTGCATGTCCAGTTTCCTTGAATGTACTGAGGCTGTTAGTTGCCTGGGTAACCGTAAGACCTGATGTTGTATTTCCCAGGTTACCCTCAGGTTGTCCACAAGCGCGGAGTGAGAGCTCGACTCATGAGGCTCTTTCCATGCTCCACAGCAAAAAAGCCTTCCTCCAGTAATCAAAGCAAGTGGCTCTTCCAAGGCTCTCTGTCTCTCTTTGTGATGATTGTTTTGTTGTTGTTGTCTAAGATGCTTCTCCTTTCTGTGGCTTTTCTTGGTAGAGGGGGCACACTCTCAATGTAAGCTTTAGTCGTACATGATTGCTTGAGCTGGGGTTTGGCAACAACATTCATTTTTGAAGAGTTTTTATTTTTCAGCATTTTACATAGAACATTTTGGTTTTACATCAGTAGAAAGAACATCTGTTGAACGTATGGTTTGTATGTATACACATTAGAGCGTTTAGTACTTTTTCCCTAACCTTGTTTGCTGTTAAAATATTCCTGTTTTGTCACAACTGAAAGAATGTATTTGCGTGTTGCAGAATATTCGTCACACTCACACAGTGAACACACAAACAGGACGTCTGATGTTAAACAAGAAAGAAGAAAAGAAAAAAAACAACTAATTAGCTGATGAGAATGAGATCAAGCAGCTATTTTATTTCCTTATAATAAATTAGTGAACATCACCAATGAATACAAAGCATTAGCTCCATAGCAGCACGTTGATTGTGGAAGACGTGGCCTTTTGGCTGTGGGCCACAACAGTACCCTTGAAGCTAATGAGGCATTTAGACACTGTGTCACACTTCAGGTATACGAGAGGCCCGGCGCCAACAAGACAAGTCAAACGTGGCGCTGCGAGGACAGTGCGGTCGGTGACAGGGCCCAGACAGCATCTGCCATCATTACAGGCCCATTAAAAAGTTTCACAGGGTTCGTGAAGAGGCTCCCTGCCACAAGGACTTTGTTCTGGGGCCTCAATAACACTAATTACCTTCGCTGTCGTATTTGGTGTAGAGGAAGAAAAGGGCATTTCGATTTTTTTTGTTTGGTTTTGTGAAGTAACATTTGCAAACAAAAGGACCTGATATAACGAGCAGAAAAGCGGCTTTAGAATGGAATCACTTCAATGGGTTTTCTTTGTTGTCAAGGAGGTTATAGACTTTGAGTGTGACATTTTGGAGAGAGGAGTTGTAAATATCTGGGTTGATTTGCTTAGCTTTTGATGATATTTGGGAGTGTAATGGGATATGTCAAATTCTAGCCTCAAACATGCTAATTTGCAAAGACTCACCAGCATCTGTTCACAACTGACCTTCCTCCTCCTCCTCCTCTCCAGACAGCGTCGAAGATGAGCTTGAACTATCTACAGTCCGCCATCGCCCAGAGGGCCTGGAGCAGCTCGAAGCCCAAACACGATTTTCCCGCAAGGAGCTGCAGATCCTGTACCGCGGCTTCAAGAATGTAAGTGATAGGGCCACCATGCATCCTTGGCACCATGCATAATGTACAGCTCAGAGGGCTTTGTTCTCTCTTGGACACTGCTCTCTCTTTGACATCAAAAACATGTTTTCCTTTGATTTTATTTGATTTATTCTTTTTTATACCCTTCTACAGTAGACAGGAAGGTTCGACTGCTCCATGGTCTTATAGACCTTATCACTATTCAGCATCCACTACGCTTTATAATAGTGCTAAAAAAATAATCAAGCATCTGATAAATGCTGTTTCGCTGAATCATCCACATCTTGCACTTAATGTTATCATGCCCAGTTGTGCTTACCACAGAAAATTGAATTTTCTGTACATTGTCATTGTGCCAAGAATAATTAGGTCATATCTCCAAGACATTGTGGAAGATTACTGATGAGTAATCAGGTCAAAGTCCTCCAGAGCAGCCCATATAAAACCACCTAACTTCATTGTCACCTCTAGTGTGAGGCGTAATGAGATGACCCAGAATTAACTCAACCCAAATTGTCTGGCTATGAAAGAGAGAGGGAAAAGTGAGAGTTCTGTGACAAAGGAATTCCCATGGGGCTTCAGTTTCCTGTTGAGCCTGCACTCTGCTCCAGCCAAGTCCCTGTAAAGCATGCCCATTAGTCCACTTCCACTTGAGACAGAGTAAGAGGTAAGAAGTGTACTAATGAGGCCTTTAATTTGTGCCGCACAGACTGCCTGGCTTCCTCTAACAGCGAGGGATAGAGTCTTGCATATGTTTATGGACCCCTGTTTTTTTTTATCATTACATATTTCGCATTTTATTTTTAGCTTCTCTAGTGGCATTGCTCAAGGGATGGCAATGTTAGTCGGTAGGTTGAGCCACACTTGAGGCCGGCCTGTAATATCTCAACAACAATTGAACTGATTGCCGTGAAACTTGGTGCAGACATTCGTGTTCCCCTCAAGATAAACTGTAATAACTTTGGAGATCCCTCTATTTTTTTATCGAGTCAAGAATTCAGCTTGTCCAGTACTTTTATTTATAACCAAATGCAAAATTGATGACACTCCCATCAAACTCAGCAGTGCTTTGTGTTTAGCGCTAGCTGGCAAATGCTAGCATGCTAACGAACTAAACTATTGTTCTCAAAGCACCGATGACCATTTGTATATCAATTACTCATCCTGTGTTATGTTGAAAGCATGAAGAAAACTTTGTTTTTCTCGCATGCATCCAGTGAACGAAGAATCCAAAAATCAAGGAAATTCTTAATGAATTGAAGTAAGGCAGTCAAGGCAGCAGTAGACCAGCAGCTCTTGTCTTCAGTGAGGTAAAATTATTATTTTTGTCAATGGAATCTGGTTTTGAAGTGAGCACTGATAAGTTTCACTACCAGTTCAGTCCCCTGTCAGAAAGGGCTGTCTAGTTTGGGAATTACTGAGCATATGAGTGGATGAATGAGATTTGGATTATACTGTATGAGTTGTGTTTGTGAACAGATGTTTTGATATAGTTTTGCTTTTGTTGAACGTGGACCCCTTTTACTTAAATTCATCAAAATATTTCTTTGTTTTTGGATTCTTTGTTCACCGGAGGAATGCAAGGAAAAATGTTTTCTTTACAAATCAAACACAACATAGGGTGAGTAATTGATACACAAATGGCCATTTAGGGGTGAGGTATTCCTTTAAATACAGAGCTGCTGTAGACTTGTTATTAATAGTTATTTTGTGCTGAGAATAAACCTTGTCATTTTTATTCGTAGTTCATCGCTACTGTTTGGTGACGTTGTGGCAGAGGTCCAAATTAGACCAAGAGAAAGAGTCATGACATTTAAATTGCAGCTACTAAATAGCTTTTGTCCACCGCTAAGTCCGAGGTGTAGCTCATTTTTTAACTGCCAGGGTCAAACAGCTCATCTTTGTCTTACCCCAACCCAGTGACATTGGCAGAGCTTTTAAGGCCAGCCAGACTAATAGAAGCTGGCATGGTTCCCATGATGAGAAATTTGGCCCTTTGTCCTTGTTATCCAGGGTTTCGAAGCAAATCAAATGCCTGTGGGTGGCAGGATGAGGTCATTCGTCTTGACAACAATCTTTACGAGTCATTCACTTGTAGCGCAGATGGTCAAAGTGGAGCTTTGTCTTAGATCCAGCAATATGTCTAACAGAGACCAAAACAAGATCTCTGACTCTGTGTCTTGCTCTTAAGGCAGAATTTGAGCAAAGGTCACCTTAAAGGTATGAGAGAATCCATTGTTTCATAAATCCCTTGACCACAGACTACAGGAAATAACACAATATTGTCCTCACGTCTGGCTAAATCTGCTGGGCTTTCACTGTTCACAGTCCGGGGCACTGCCTCGGGCATTAGATTAAGATCTCACAGTCAGCGACGATGCCTCTGTTCACACGTTTATTTCATTCCCCACACCGCTTATTGCCGCATCGCTTCACGAGACTCAGAAAGGAATTTCATGCCTGGCTGCTTTTGCGTTTCACAAATTGTATTTGTGATTTTATTATCATGGATGAGCTAATTTTACAAGCATATCAAATGAATACAAATACATTTTCTGACCTGTCACTTCGGCTAATGAGATTGGCACTGAATAATGTGTAAGATGGAACAGCATGCAAGGGCACGTGGAAAGCACTCTGATTTATCTTTATACACAATGTGCTACTCATTCCAATTGCTCTTTGCCCTTCAATTTTGAGGTTAACAAATATACAGATATGAAAACTAATAAAACTCTCATAAATATGTGATATAAGATATTGAAAATAAGGAACTGTAGACACACCTTGCCCATAACTTTGCATGTTAAGAAGTGGATCACAGAATCACTGCTTGTAGAAAAAAAGCAAGTTTGATCTTGGAAAATTCAATTAACATTCATATTTTCTGAGACGCTTTACTAAAGTCCTTCAATATAAATGTAAAAATATCCTAATGTAAATGACATTATGTCCTTAATGGGGTTATTTATTCATCTATCAGTGCCCTACTGATGCAGAGAAAAATGCATTACAAGAAAACAGCTTTTCCAGAAGCTCAATATTAATGACTAATGTAAAGAACAGTGTGTAAATGAGGTCCTGACTTTTAGCTCAGCGATTTATCTGTGTTTATCCTGGCGGGACCTTAAGGAGTTAGGGCTTCAAGTGAGTGTAACTCTTTCACTGAACTTTGAAATTGAATTGCAGGAGCACTATGCTGTACGTGACGATAACTAGATAACACACTGTCTTCACTCTCGATCGAAAAACCGCCTCCCTCGCCAGTGTCACCATGAGGCTGAAAAGAAAAGACAGAATACAGTCAGATGAATTCTGATGTCAATGTGAGATGCAGTTCAATAATCACAAAGTTTTACTGACCTTTAATTGTCCTTCAGGTTTGTGAGGGTGAGTCAGCGAGGTTAGAAGATGAAGCTCACTTGGAACACAGCCATTTGTATATTACTGTCTCGCCTAATCAGTGTGTTATTAGTGCTGACAGCTGTAATTGCCCATCTGTGTGCAGACACACACACGCAGACACACATGGCGCTGCACAGACGTGAAATTACATGTTTGAAAAATCTCCCTCTCCTCACTATAAGTACTTAATTACATGACATTTCCTTGCACTTCCTCAACAAAAGGTTGACTGTTGACAACCCATTCACTGTAGTGTTGTAGAACATAAACAATGCTCCAATTAACAGAAGCTCGACTAAACAACAAAGAAATACTCTCTGTGTCAAATGTACAAAGATGTTGTAGAGCAACTTTGCTTTTAGGGTGGATATGTTTGATGTCCAACGCTTTCTCCCAAGGCTTAACATCTCTGCTGTGTTTGCTGGAATATGATTTGGAAATTGTCAGTTTTTGGGGAATACTCTTATTCATTTTCTTGCTGAGCGTTAGATGAGAAGATTGGTATCATTCTTATATCTGTCTGTTAAAAAATAAACTACAGCCAGGACGAGGTTAGCTTAGCTTAACAGACGGCAGAGGCTCCAGGAGTCATTAGGCTAAGCCAAGCAAAGAAACTGTTGAGCATGCTCAGGCCCCGATCACACAGAAAGCATTTTAGCTGCTAGTAAATTTTTGTTATTGTCTTTAATGAGAATTAGGCTTTTTGCATGTGTTGCTACGCGCCTTGCGTTTCTGCGCGCCTTGTGTTTCTGCGCTCTAAACCCCTGACATTTTTGCCAAACTCCTCAAGTTGAAAAAAACAAACAAACTAAAAGCAGAAAAGCGTCATCTCCACATTTTTCCCATTGTCCAATTGGATGATTAGAGGGGCGGGACTTCTGTGGACATCATCACAACAAGTTCACAGCTGGTAAACAATGTTGGAGAAACTCGTGGTACTTCCTGTGATCCACCCTCTTTTTTAGGGTCTCATGTACCCACACAGATCTCCATTTCTCTGTACCCAACACACTATTTGCTGACAGCCTCTCACCCTCAACCAGAGCGAGATCAAGTACCCTTTGCCTGAAGGTAACTAGCTACTCATTACTGTGAAAATAAGTAGGTAGTTTTAGCTAACCAAATTAAACCAAAGGCAGAACATCAACAGAAATGCTTTCTGTGTGATCGGGGCCTAACGCTCTAAACCAGGGGTCTGCAACCTTTGCCATTAAAAGAGCCATTTTTGACCAAGAATAATTTTTCCATAATAATTTCCATAGACTTCTTTTCTCAAAGGCTCAAGGAGCAACTGGACAGGGGCTAAAGAGCCACATGTGGATCCGGAGCCACAGGTTGCCTACCCCTGCTCTAAACTAAGATGGTGAACAAGTTAAATGTTAGCATGCTAACATGTTAAACATTATACCTGCAAAACATCAGCATGTTAGCAAAATGTCGTTAGCTAAAAACACCAGATAGCATGGCTGCACAGTGTGATTTTGCCAAGTAGGACACCATACTGGATCAACATTCCACATTGCATTCCCGGACCTCAATCAATTTGAAAAACTTAACTTACCTCTAAAGAAGCAAAATGGCACGAAAGACCAGCAGCAATCTGCAGAAATGGTTTTGGAAAGAAAGGGAGGGAACAAGTTGCAGCACACTGATAATGTCAGAAGACTGTGGTTGGTTGATTAAAATTTTGGTCCAGGAATGCAATGTGGGATGTTGATCCAGGATGGTATTCTACTTCATGTCGTGCTAGCGTGGCTAGCTGTTTCCCACTGCTTCCAGTTTCTGTGCTATGCTCAGCTAAGCTAACTCTCACCTGTATCATATTTGCAGCACATTCATGAGAGTGGTACCAATCCTCTTATCGAGAAAACAAAATGTCTGCCTATTCCCTTTAAATTTGTTTGCACTTGCACTTTTCTCCCATAATAATATTCCCCAAAAAGGCTAAATCAAAAATTTCAGCTTGAACAATTTTTTTAGTCGGTGCCAAGATCACCAATATAATGCCAGTGTGACTCAGTCTCTCCACTGTGGAGAGTAGTTCTCCACATGCTGCATCATTTGGATTCATATGCTAGTTTACCCTGAGCAGCACCACACACTCCAGACTCTCAGATTTCATTAAAGCAGGTCGCAGACTCGCCAAACTACAATATGGAGACAGACTTGTGCTCATTCTGTCTCCCTAGCTTCCCCCAAATTCTTGACCTCACCTCATTCCACAAGATATGCAATTGGGTCTGTGAGACAACAGAAAAGGAGCGTCAAGGGATTCATGCAGACAACCTCGCAGCATCCTCTTTGCTTGAAACACAAGGAGCCCGTTTGAAGCGAGACAACAAGGTTTCATCTTTATATTTTCAGCCCCACAGTTCTGTTTCCTGACGTGGCTGATCAAACATGGTCACAGGAAGGAGGAAACCCGGTTTGCCCTGTGATTCTTATGAGGTTGTTCACACTGAGAGAACAGTTGCTGTCTCACATTCTATCATCCAAGAGAAGTGAAGCAAATAACTGGCTGTAGCAACTCGTGTCTTAAGTTTTGCAAACAAAATTGAAATTGATTTTGAGTCAAATCGATTAAATTTTCAGGTTAAGGTCTAGAAAACAAATAGATGCAGAAGTATATTTCCACTATTTCTCTGTTTTCTGTCTGTTTAATTTCTGTTGAAACTGTATCAGAGATGTGTTTGTGTTATTGTTTCCACCCTACATAAAATCTGTTTCTTTGATTTCCTATTTTCTCGTCTAGAAAACCCAGAGACACATGTGCCTCCCGCTTTGGAAATTGTCTCCATAGGTGGAGCATTTCCTCTCTTCCAAAGATTCAATATCCTGCCAGTGTGTGCTCTGTGCAGCCTCACCAAACAGAAATTGAACCTGCAAAACTAGCTGCCTTTATCATCACGCTGCCCTGAGCAAGGTCATCCTCCGCGTCTTCGGTTGCCCCTTTCTTTTAAAAGAGACAAAAGCATCCTTCTCAAAGGTGTTATGTAAGAGTATTCAGTCGTTTCTACTGAATGCTACCAGGCAGCCACAGGTGGGTGACTCTGAATGGCTGTGGATAAGATATCTATTGAGGCTTGAATGGTTTGCAGCTTGAATACCATCAAACTGAACATAAGAAAAATAAATCGAGATATCCTTGATGTCGCCCTTCTAATTGTATCCTCCCTCAATACTGTTGAATAAAATGATGCAGAGATAAACTGACAACTATTTTATTTATTTGAAGATAAAGACTAACTTAACATCAAACTTAAAGAGTGTTTCATTGTCCTATCTGTGACAAAATGTAATGTCTGTTGCACCCAACTGTGATGTCACAGTGTATTTGACACACCGCTGGAGTACACTTCTACATCACTGCAGCAATATAACAAGTTTAACCTTGCTTGGGTCCGGACCTTGAAATCCACCCACTCCACTGAGCTGACTTATTGGTTTGGCATCGTGACATGAAACAGCAGTTTCTCTGTTACAATGAAAAACATCCAATCCTAAGTGCCACAGGTGGCACTGACACTGTTGTCTGGATGTTGTCAAGCAGTGCGCCAGAACCAGTGAGCAGTAATAACAACAATCACAGTGCTACAGACGAGATAGACGCTGCTATCAAGGCTGTTGTAAATTGACGTCTTCTAAACATAGCCGACGTTGTAGTTTGTTTTACGACCCCTCCACTCTTAAAACCCAGGCAAAGCCAGTATGTTGGCATGGCTACACACCAGTGTGGACTGAAAATGACCTTAGATTCAGGTGGATACATTAGTCTCTAGTAGGGGTGGGAATCACCAGAGGATCGTGATAGGATATTATCACGATACTTAAGTCACAATACGATATTACTGCGATTTTAAATATGTTGTGATGTGCTGAGTATTGGGATAAAATATATTAAGATATTGTGCGATTTATTTTCTGTTTTCAACCGCCTAATAAGATAAAGTCATTGATATTAGTTTGTATCTGAAAGACCTAAAAAGCAATTGATTGTAGTATTCTAGTAGGCTACCTAAAGTTTAATTTGTATTTGTAATATCATGAAGTTATATAATAAAAAAATCTATACTTGGCATTGTGTGACGATACGATATTGCCACACAAAAATATTGTGATACTATGCTGTATCGATTCTTCCCCCCACCCCTAGTCTCTAGTGATTGTTTAAAGAAAATCAAATCAGTTAGAGTTAGACCAAAGATTGAAACGGAGTGCAACATGCTGATAATTCGGTTTGACTACCATGCAAAGTTTAACCACTAGAGGTTAGCATAAACAAGATTTTCAGCTGCTGTTAAGTTTCTCTTTAAATATTGTCATCTAATTCATTTTGGAAAAGAAATTTTAAGTAATGTTTGAAAGTTGGCTTTAATTTAGCCTCTTAAATGTTTAAGATCTCCTTTAGACATATTTTAAGGCTTAAAAAAGAATTTGTCTGAAATGGTTATTAAATAACAATAAAGGTAAAAAACAAAGATATACTCCCCCGTATTGAAAGAGCTGCAATAACTTTTCATTTTAAAAGTTTAAACGCTGAATGCAAGACGTCTCCTTCCAAACTTAAAATGGGCTTTTCAGTGATGTACTCTGGAGATTTCAAGTTTCAGTCACACACTTAGCTTTAATGCAAGGCTTCTAATATAGGATTGTCTTTAATGTAAATGCTAAATGACCCATGCAGTTCTGTTTTGTCTTCCAGGAATGCCCGAGTGGGGTCGTCAATGAGGAAACTTTTAAAGACATCTACGCTCAGTTCTTCCCACAAGGAGGTCGGTGTCTGCTTTGTTTTTGCAGCTTGTGTTGCCGCCTCTTATCTCCTCTGTGTGCTGGACCGACACAAATTGCCTTTCACTCATGTTTAGAAAAATTGCCCCAGAGTCCAGAGTGCTTTAAGTTAAACCACCATCCAAGAAAATGTGACAGACAGAGAGAGAAAGAGGGAGAAAGAAGTTTGTTTGTATTTACGCAGGCTGGAGCTGCTCAGTTTGCGCTCATCATTATGCAAAGATTCTACCCGAGGAACAAGAGAGAAAACATTAGGAGGCTTTGATATATCTGTTCAAAGAGAAAAAAGGCAGAGCAGTACATATAATGGCTCACCACACAGGAAACAATGATAAAACTCTTAGCTCTGAGCATAAAAAAAATGCATTCTGATTCTTTGAAGTTGTCCAGAAAAGCTACAAAACTTTGCTTTGAACCATTTTCTTGTTTGCAGTAGGTGTCTCTGCTCGTGGTGATTGAGCTGTAATCACGGCAGATGTTTTTTGATTTCATGTGCATGTTTGTTCTCTCCATAGATGCTTCAACATACGCACATTTCCTGTTCAATGCATTTGACACAGATCACAACGGCTCTGTGAGTTTTGAGGTAAGCCAAGTATTGCCATTGCCAACCTGTCCTTCATATCAGTAACTGATAAACTGTATGTGTTGGGTATTTCAACAGTTTCAAAAGAAGTCCACTGAAAGCTCCGACAAAAGTACATCAAACCAAACACTTTTTAAAGTTTCGACACTGTGAGCCTCTGAGGCTTTACACTGGGGCATTATGTAACCTGCAACCCTGATAATTTTAAATTAGCCCAAGCAAGTCTACTTGAGATGCTATCAAAATGTGATTAATATTTATGAAGGGCATATATTTGCTTATTAGGGCAGAACAGCTGTCATTATGCCAAACCAGAGCTAATGTGCAGTCCATTCAGCTTAAGAGTACAGGGATTCCCCGAGGGCCGCCACACTTTAGGAGATGGTTAATAACTTGAATAATGAGGTATGTTTGATTGATAGCGTCTGCACTATTGCTGTTTCATCATTTGCTTCTAATTAATACCTGACATAACATCCTTGCTGAAGTGTTGTGTATAACCAGCTGAGATGCTACTTTGACTTTTTTTTTAACTTCATGTTTTTGTTTGTCTCACTGGTTTTTGAGTACTTGTTTACAAAAAGCTTGTTTTTAAATGTGTATATATTATACAGTTCTCAGTGAATCTGGTTTTCTCTACAGGATTTTGTTATGGGCCTTTCTATCCTCCTGCGAGGCACAATCCAGGAGAAACTAAACTGGGCTTTCAACCTGTATGATATCAATAAAGACGGCTATATCACTAAAGAGGTATGTGCCTTTAAACAGTGTCAACAGTGAATCACTGAAATACGCAAATACCCACTTTTTATATGGAGTAGATTCCAAAGCACGAGTTTTTGTGGAAGGGTCAGTTCACCAACATTACAGCTTTTTCTTGCGAATGTCAGGATGCTAACATGCTCACAATGACATAGACTGTATAAAAGTAATGGATGAAGCCATCAGGACGTCACTCATTGGTTTGTGGGATCCCATTTTAAAGCCTCAAAGTTGGCATTTTTGGCTTGTGGAGCCAGAATTGACCGTATTTGGACGAGAGGGTGGAGCTATAGAGTAGTGAGGGGCACATCTGACAAAAAGGTAAACCTCGCAGAAAACCTGTCAGTCAGAGCAGCTAACCCTTAATTAACGGGGAAATTAGCTATAGATACCAAAATCTTTTTTGTACCAGGCTATAAACATGTCTATTTCTGCTGTAATAGTGGGCATTTTAACATAGTGGCCTACAGGGATTGACTCACTTTTGGAGTCAGCCCCAAGTGGCCATAAGAGGAACTGCAGTTTTTGGCACTCCTGCATTGGCTTCATTTTTCAGCTCCAGATTTTGATGCTTGCCCAGTGTCAGTGCTTACATGTTGATGTTTAACAAGTCAGAATTTGGAATTTCTTATCTTAGCTTGTTGGCATGCTAACATCAGATTATTAGCATTTAACACAAAGTTCAGGCTGGTGGCAGTATCATGAGTTTTGCAGGTATTTGGTGAAGATGAAAAGTGAAAATTTTGACCTTGTGATTTTGCCCTGGATAGAAAGTCAGGGAATCACCAAAGTGATTACAATTCATCCAGAGGTGGATCTGAATATTTGTAACACATTTAATCGAAATCCATCCAATAGCTGTGGAGAAGAAGAGGTAATGTCAGGAGGACGCAAAGTGATTAGGAAACATCTTCTCAGGATCATCAATATTTGTATAAAAGTTTGTGGCAATCCATTGAATGGTAGTTAAGGTTTTTCAGTTTTGACCAAAACTTGCGGCCCAACCAACAGGCATGATTACCGTCACTAGAGCTATGCTGCTTGTTTGCCAAAAAAAAAAAAATCAGTGATAATGAAACAGTGTCCCTGTTACTTTTGGATACAGACCTTACTATAGGCGTTTTCGGAGCAAACCGTTCTGGGGACTTCCTGAGAGAAACTGTCCACAGAGGAACTCCCCCAAGAACTACTTACCTTCAAGGGCTTTTTTTCCATTTGCATCGGCACCACCACTGGGAACACTGAAGTGACATACTGTAAGGGAGCCAGTGGTTGGTGAAGCAACGGCATTTTTGCTTTGAGCAGTCAAAATTGTTATTCTTGTTTCCCTCCATTTTATCCTTTACGAGCTGTTTGTGTTTTATGTTGGCTGTTTACAAGGCCAACAGTTTTTAAAAATGGCGGTACCCAGTGCTGCATTGGTTGTGTGCAACCAATCCCTAAACAGTTATGTCACTAATGGTTCCTCTTTTGCTTGGAGAGCACCTACTCTGAATTAGGTGCGGACACACCAGAAGGGGGGTTCTTAGAACTGTGAAAAGTTCCTCCAGTCTGAAAACGCCTAATGAGCAATATCATAGGGAAAGTTTCTAAAAACTGTCGACAGTGAGGTCTGCGGATTAGCCAGAGTTTCAGGGACATTGCTTCAAGTGTCATCTTTCAACGCCATAGTTAAAATTCCAGTCACCTGAGTGGTATTATTGCAGAAGTCTGTAAAGCAGACAGTCTCAGGCCATTCGGGGTAAATGGCTTTCTTTGTAATTTGGGTGAGCTGACTCTTCTCTGTGCGGCAGGAAATGCTAGACATCATGAAGGCCATCTACGACATGATGGGGAAATGCACATACCCTGTCCTCAAAGAGGAGACGCCTCGTCAGCATGTAGAAGTATTCTTTCAGGCAAGTGTGTAATTTGGCAGCACTCACCGCACTGTTATTGTCAGTCACAGTGAAAAGGCTGTTCTTCATCTTTTCCCTCTCTCTCTGTCTCCAACAGAAGATGGATAAGAATAAAGACGGGGTGGTAACCATCGACGAGTTTATCGATTGCTGCCAAAATGTAAGCTGGATATCCCGACACATCTCTCTCTCTCTACTGCTGGCACGCTCGCATTTTTCTCATTACATTGTTTTCTTTCTGTGCGCAGGATGAAAACATCATGCGATCAATGCACCTCTTTGAAAATGTTCTTTAACTTTTGGCTGAGTGTGGAGGCTTTGGAAGAGGACATCATCTTAAGCTTGGCCCAATAACTGACTTGGACTCATACTGTGTACAGTGTGCTATGCAGACTTTTGATCATAGATAGAAATGTTGTTCATTACTGTGGGCCACGAGTAGGAGTAGGCAATATGGTGCGAACACTCTGGAATACCTTTTGAACATTTTATTGAATAAATTGTAGAACTTCATTACATAAAAAAGAGCTGAATAGAAAATTCAAGGTTGATTTCCAACATTTGTCTCTGGAGTGTCTTTCTGTGTGCCGAACACAGAGTTCTGCAAATTGCGTCGGCCTCCAACATTATAAACACGCGGGGAATTCGTGATGAAGGGGGTTTAGACAGGAAGCTTCTATCTCTGTTGCGGCCTCGACTTGTTTTATTTACTGCCAAGTGAAATCACTGTGACTTTTTAAAGCATCAGAAACAAAACTGAACAAAATATCTGAGGTATCTTCAACAGCCCTCTCTGTTTTTACATTCCAGACCGGCTCTCAATTCCAGAGTGTTCTTACCCCCGACTTAGCGAACCATTGTGGTCTGTCTTCTTGCTCTTTGGAGAAAGCATTTAGAGAAAACAAAACACACACATTGTACCATTTTAAACTGTATATATTATAGATAAAGCATTAGATAAGAATTCTGTGAGTACCTTTTCAACTTTGTTCATGTTTACTTGCCAACTAGAATGAGACAACACAAGGATTGTATTGATGTCAAATTCGGACCATACTATCGATGGTTTGTCTACAGAAGCACACAGGTAGCTATATTTACCATGAGTATAACGTTAGACGATGATATCTTTTGTCATAAGATAAATGCTGCTTTCAGTGTATTTCAGTTAACCCTATGTATTCCCTGTAAAGTAAACCATCTATCAATATGTTTTTAGTTCTGTTTTGGAAGCACTGTTTAGGAGTTTACACTTAGAGCAGTGTTTGAGGTTATTTATATGCTATTACAGTCATTGTACAAAAGACTGTGGGTTGTACAGTATTAAATGAAAGTTTGCTCTCGGGTGAATTTCAGGTCTTTAGATTTGTCCATAGAATTCACTGTTTTTAATCAGTAAGGGCAGGTGGGTTCGGTTGTCGATACAAACACTGTAACTTTGTATTATACTCGTTATTTTTTGGGTTGTTGGCTAATTCGCTTCCTGCTGTTTTCCTCCTCCTCGTCCTGCGGGCCAAAGCCCCAGCTGCCCGCACCTGTCAGCCCTGATTGGTTCCTGCTGTCTGTGATTAAAGCATTGCTTGGCCCCAAATGTGAGCAAACACAAGGCATGCTGGGTGGAAGTCTCACTTACTGACTGCCTGTTGCTCGTTGGAAACTACTGGATCACTGAGAGAAGTGTCTGGACATTATGTAAGTAAGTTACTTTGTGTTTCAATTTGACTCTTTTCTTTTGGGTACTGGGTATAGAAAGTGTCCATCAAACCAGCCGGAAATCTGATATATACTTGAGAATTGGTTGATTTTTGGTGAATGATTTGCAGCATTTGACAGTTTATCATGTTCATTCAAAGTATGTCGCTACACTGTATAGTCACATAAAAATCTCCTCAGTGAGGCATGTTGGTTGTTAGTTTAGTAAAGAAAATGGCACATTTTTCTCAGTTGTGTTCGTTTTGCTCATGTTATCAGAGACCATGTGTTTATTTCCATCAAGAAATTGCCATTTTTTTCCTTGATTTGTGTTTGTGTGCCTTACTGTTTGTAAAAGTGTTTTCTCTGTTTGGTTGACAACTTTTATTCTCTGAAATATGATCATGAAAAATAACTGATAAAACAGGGGGGCGGGGAACAAATGTTTGCGACATTACCCACTTCTAAACATATCTACAACAGATCCCAGTGGATGAAGACACGTTCTTTCTGAAAAGCATTTCTACATTTCTTGTGTAAATAATATCCAAAGTCAGCGAGCTCTGACAAAGTGAAATAAACTATACACATCAAATTTTCAAATGTGTGTGTGAAATGACTTAAGTCACATTAAAGGGTGTAGATATGACGTGTGCTTATGGTGATGGAAACTACTTTAGTGCACCATAATACTTCCTGTTAGAAAAAAAAATGTTTAGATTTTGTATTTGGTGTGATGCGATGTCTGTTTGTGTTTTCAGATAGTAAATTCTAAAATGTACATTACTGGCTCACGTGTATATAACATAATACGTTTATTAATGCATTTTAGTCTGTGATGTCAACAGAACACGTCCCAAATTACAGTTTCACACTGTAAGCTTGTAATTTTAGAAAGGACAGTCCCTTTAATTCACTATTAACTACTGTAGTTCTATCGTTTTAAGTATTACATGAAATAGGAGCATATTTTAAAAACCAGATTGTGTTCAACATCATGGACCGAAGTATTTTTATTGTCCATTTTATGCAGATCATATTGTGGATCAAAGAGCAAATGATTCAGTGTTGCCTTTGACTAAAAGTGATCTGGCGCCCCACTGTGGTGGCAAGAGGAAAACACACTAGCACAAACTAAACCTGGACTGTATTAAATTAATATTGTTTGTTGTGTATATATTGGTTTTATAGTTTCTTTTGGATATTGTGTTCTTGTAAATAATTTTTTTGTGTAATTGCAAATTATCCGAAACTGACTCTTGGATAATGTGCGGTAGATTTCTCACTATATTTGAAAGATGACCACCAATCAGCAGACTGAATGTAAACATTTTGACGACCTTACATATCTTTCCTCTGAAAGCAACATACAGGTCAGAGGGTTTTCGGTGTGGAACATTAATTAAAACTTTCTGTCCTGTACATATCTTTAAGAAACTGAGCAGCAAGAGTTATGTCAAGAATTTAATTTGTTGAGGGTTTGGAATAAAATATACATGGCACGCCAAGACTGTCCACGAGTCAGCTCAAGAAACAACCGTCCATATTTCCAGTTCACTTGAAATCACTCCTTCCAACTTAAAATAGTAAGGTACTCAAATTACCTGAGATAAGTTTGCATACAAACCAAAAAAGATAAAAGTCAGCCATAGACCTCGAGGACACATACTTGACATATATACTTGACATATAACAACTATTATATCAACTTAAGGCAGATGGTCATATTTTGAAAACACAAGCTGTGTATTTCATGTACAAAAAGACTTTGTGTAGGCCACACATACACAAAAATATTTATCAATGCATACGTGAATTACACAGAGGCAATTACCTCGATAAAAATAAGCAACATGATACAGCTTTTGCTGTGCTGAAACCAGGACTGAAAAGTTACATCACCTTGCAGATTATTAGCGTGACAGTGAGCTTTTTTTTTTACACAATCTGTTGACAAAATTCAGATGGTCCAATAGTAACTGATGATTTTATTGTCCTGACACTTTTGGCACAGGTCAGATTTGTCAGCTGGCACCTTGTTCATAATAATATGGCGTTGTTATTGATTGTTGTGCGACAGTTTTAGTGAAAGGCTTGATATTTGGTCTCTATTTGCTCCCTTTGATGCCTCTCGGCACCATCACCAGTCCATTCCCTTCACCATCCCTTTTTTAGTCCAAATTCTGACTCGTGCAGTGTTGAATAAATCTCATTTTTCATCCAGACACGAGTTTGCTCCTCATGTAGAGCAACAGCTGTGTTCATTTCATTGTAATCTCAGAACACCAAAACAAAACGTTTTCTGCGTCACCGCACGCTGCGAAGATCAAGTCTCTGCTATAAATGGTGAAAGAATCTGTTGGTTTTTTTTGTTTTTTTTTTGGTGTGAACCGACTGCTTTGTTTCCCTCATGGTGTAATGACAGGGATAATTTTCAGTCCTGGCAGCAGCAGCAGCATTGTTTCTGCTAAATTATGAATAACCTGGTACCGTGGATACGCTAAATGTGTGTATGTTTACTTAAGTACATTTTCCACTCGGGCAGCACAAGTGTGATAAAACGTAGAAGCCTCTAAAAGTCGTTTAAATATTCAAAATGTATTTGAGCATTTACTGTTTAAAAAAGAAACTTAAGATTTTAAGATGAGTTGCTGAGACTTGTTACGTTTTCAGTCTTCGTGGGAAAAAGTCGTTTATAGCAAAGACTGGCGAACTTTATTGAGTTTCAGAGTGAACGTCGACAGTATTGCCCACAAATAACCCCTTGTCTTGTTCTTGGAAATCTACAAATTGAAATGTAAATCTAAATTGACTGCACCGTGGAGATATATGTATTGCTTATGCCCATGGGCTTAATGCCAAAATACCTTTCAGCCTCAGACACTGATGTCACTCCAGTCTCTGCGGTCCATCACACAGAGCACCTGTGCGGGAAATGCTGGCTGTGTTGTCCATGTTTTACTTACAAGTTCCTAAAGTGACAAGTGGTTATTTGAAGATCATACTGTGTGTACACATTAAAGGGTGACAGAAGCATTTTGGAAAGGCAGCTTTGGATTCTCAGATCTCAGAAGGCTCCTCTTGTTTCCTGGTTTCTTCCTCTGTCTTTGTGATACACCTAATAAGTGTCTTTCTGTGGACCGTCCTTAAGATTCAAATGGAGCCGACTGAGACTGACCCTGCGAGGTTTGTGCGTGGTCCATTAGATGGCGTGTTTCTCCCAGGCCAGTGATGGCGGGCACACTGAGGCCAAGTGATTGGGGGGGTTAAGTGAGGAGCTGCCTGATCTCTCGGTGAACGTAGCAAAGGAAGTCCATGTAGGAAGCGCCACCGTGCAGGCCTTTATCCTCCACCAGGAACTGACGGAACAGCATCTCTGGTTTGTCCTTCTGCCTCACGATTTGGAGCTGAGAAGAGCGGAGGGAAGAAGAAAGCAAAGTGTGATGTGTTTCATGTAAACTTCAATCTGTGTCTGTGCATGTGTTTGTGCTTCATTTGATTGGGATTGCAGCATCAACTATGGATTCATAATAATAAATGTATTCTAACTAAATTGTTCTCTGCAATAAACTGATGCTTACTACTCAGTAGCACTGGGCCTGTAGTGCTTGGGGCCACCTTACAACAATGACATATACCAACAAAATTTCTAATATATCACACAGTTTGTGTTCTTAACTTAAAGTAAACTATTTTAGCCTTTCCATTTTTACAAAAATATGACATGCATTCTTGAGTTGTACTTTGATTTTCTTGTTTATTTAGCAATTTAAAATATTAAATGTGAATGTTGCTGCAGTTGTGGAGGGTGTAGTTACTTAAAAGCTCCACTAGAGGGAGGCAGAGGTCGTTTAACAGTTGGCTTTAATTTGTTAATTTTTCTTAGTTTAAAAATGTATTTTAAACAAAAATGCTGCTCCTCTGGTTGACTTACCTTCATAGAGTTCGGCCTCTTTTCAAGCAGGCTGCTGATGATGGATCGGACCTTTTTGGACAACGGGTTGTCTAGTTCTGGCAGCACACACTGAAAAACACAATTAGAAGGGTTAATAATTCACTGGTGCTAGTTCAACATATGTTATACTTGTGTCAGAGAACATTAATACATCATGATGTGTTGATTTGAGGATGTGAAGCAAACAGCTTTGATTTAATTATAAAATTCAGCTCACTTGAAAACTATTTAACAAGTTTGAGTTTGTTCCTTCTTTGTATGTACCAGTGCCACATGTTAAAGTGTTGTTTAAAACTCCGCTTTGAAAATAAATGTCCATCTTTGAACCCTGTGTGAGGTTTACGTGTTTAATTACAGTATTGTTGACTCAGTTTTGCCCATTTTACAGGTTAAACTTGTGGATTTCATCTTGTATTTGAATGTATCAAATGATTTCCTGCTGGATCCAATCAGGATCAGATGTAAGATTTTATTACAAATGTAATCTTCTCTGAGTTATGAAGTGCCTACTTCTCAGAAGTGGACTTGTAATTTCAAGGCGTATTGCCTAACCAAACATCCAGGCATTCTCTCCCCGTACTGTAATGCCTCCAGGCACCGCAGAGGTAAGAAAATGTCTCGTCTAATAACATACTGTTTCATTTAGTTTATGAATGTGTTGAGGGGGAAGTGCTGTTGAGTGAATTCTGACCATGTGTCCTTGCAGGTGGGCGAGGGAGGGCAGGTTAAATATGCTCTGGATGAGTTCCGGAGGGCTCGCTTGGCCCAGCCACAGAAACATAGAGTGTCCGTTCTCCAGCAGGAACATGCCGGAGTCTGTCAGACGCTCCTCTGAGCAGCGCACTTGAGTGGGTAGAGCCTCGCTGCCGACATCAATGTTGTGCTGGGAGAAAAAAGGCAAATTATTACAGCAGTGTCACTTTTTCTTCTATATTGCAGGGAAATTTAGTGAGTTACAGTGCACTCAGTGTGTGGGAGTTTGTCCCGTACCAGTGGGGTGAGGCGTGGGTAGAGCAGCAGCTGTGTGTCCTCCACCCCCATGCCCATGATGGACAGCCTTTGATGGGCTCTGTCATCTGTTGCGAGCTCTGTGCTGCCGACCAAGGGAGCAACTTTCATCAGGCTGTTCATGTAGACGGGGAACACTTTCATGGCATCAGGCAGGATCAGCTACATGCGGACACAGGCATAAAAACATGACTGTTACTTTCTAAGAGATGGCATCGCATATGCTATGTGCATCAAGGTGTTCTTTGCATCCTAAAAATCAAAGCCTAAATTCAACAAATTTCATTCCAGGTGTTGGCCTGCGCTGACCTGGCTGGCAGCGGAGGGGCTGGCACAGTTCTTCCTGTAGCAGGCCAGCATGTGTGCTGTCTGGTTGACCAGGATCTCTCTCACATTCTTTAAAGGCTGGTTCAGTATGGCGCGGCAGGCTGAGCGGGAACGAGAAAAGGTTAGTTAAAAGACACAAGAGGGGGAGGAGAGGAACAGAGGGGCATAACTGGCAGCTAAGGATAAGTAGGGGAATAAAAGACAAAGGATGATAAATGAGAAGAATCAGGGACGGGGAAGAGAGCGCACACAAGGGAGCTGAAGAGCAGCTGGACCAATGAAAGAAGGCAAGTGAAGGTCAGTGATACAGCTGTACTTAAGGCTCGCTGTGTGCAGATTACAGAAAGGCTCAGTGACATCTGTATTTTATGTGAAACATGTGGTTCTCATTTCCACCACTTTATTCTTCTTTTACTCATAAGTCGGTGAGTATTAGTAGATTATCAAGTGATGCATGGGGTAACTCCAGCAAAGGTCAAGGTGATACCGCAGTACATCAGCAGGCTGTGTCTGCACGACACTACAACCCCGAATAAAGAAAGCTGACTCCCTCCTGAAATAATACACTGCTTGTAGATCATGGGAAGAAAAAAACATCAGCTCTGCATCTGTGCTTTAAGTGCAGACTTTAAAGAATGTACAAAGATGGTCACCTGATTTGGCGAAGAAGTTGACGAGTGAGTCGGTCTCGCAGCTCTTGTACAGCTCTGACAACTGCGAGCTGCAGTTCAGACTGAGGTTGTGGATGCGGAGGCGTCGCTGTCCACTGATGGTGGTGTACAGCAAGGCACACTGGGAAACAGAGTCCAAATAGAAGTTAAAACCAATCCTTGGGGATTTAACTCCTAGCAAAACAGCAAACTGATATTGAGGCGTATTTTAAAGACACATACCTGTATGAGTGCCCCAGTCTCCTCACTGAGCGTGTCGTCATGCTTGAACTCTACAGTCACAGCCTTGTCACAATCCACAGCTGCCATCTCTATATCTGTGGTGTTGTTCATATGGATGGCACCAAAGAACTCGGTGGCTCTGAAACCTGAGGACAGACAGTAGAGTATATTAGAGTAAATTGGGAACTCTTTGCGATGTGTTAGTAGCATACCAAGTGCAAAGTCTTTGGATATTCCTTACCTGTACTGGTACGAACGCGCATGACTGCATCAAATCCGATGCTCTTCTGCACGTCTTTTCTCAGGTCTCTCAGGAAATGCTCCCCGTCAGTCTCCACCTGAATTGGCAGCAAATATTATATGTGTTAGCTTTGAGCAGCAGGTGGCAGTATTGTCACAGTTTGGTCCCATGCCAATGACCATCAGCCCATAAATGCACATTTACACAAGTAATTTAGTCTAATACCAAGAGTGATGACTGACTTAAATGTCAGTTTGAGCCAAAGGAAACAGCAAACAGGATGTTTATGCCACACTAAATTAGATTATTTGTTAATAAGTAATAAAATGCTGGACTGTGGTGTGCCCACATTGTACTGTTACTGTACACTTTATTATAGATTTGTTCCATGTGTTCAGCTGCATTGTACAGCCTTTGTATGTGGTGTGTTTGTGCAGTTTCGAGGCATTTCCCATGCTTGTTGCACCATTCCTATGGGACAGGTCCATAATAGACTGTGGGTACTGCGCCAAAGTCATTATGTGGATACAACCAGCTTTTATGAGGCTTCAAATGTCTTTGCCTTTGTGTTAAATTATTAGCGTAATGACAAGAAATAAAAACTGAAGAACTGTGTCCTTTATGTGTCTTGCTTGCAGCGTTTCGTTTGTGTGTGTTTCATTGGTCTTCACATACTGTAAAAAAGAATGCCTGCTAATGTTGTACCTGGAAGTTGTTGTACTTGTAGACGGAGCCTCCGGTGTGCGAGGGCACGTCAGCCATGGTTGCAACGTCTACGTACTGGCTAGGAAAGAGGAAGAGATCCACACAGCAGCCCTGCGCCACACAGTCCTTAGACAGCTGCTCGTACACTCCTTTCTGAGGCTGGAACAGGGTCTAAGGAAAAAAAAAGAACTTTGGATAAGTCAGCATTCCCCTGTAGCAGCGTCCTCAGATTTCAAAGTTCAAAGATAGCATCCACCGCATCAGACTCCACTCATGCGGATGAGTTCCTGTGCTCACTGCAATTAAGCCCTGGCACTGCGCTTCTGCTCAATCAACAACTGCCTGCAGTCTCTATATTTGGAGTTCAAAATAAGCTGTAGAATTTATTTTAACAAAACATTACTCACTTTCTCTTTCTCCGTGTTGACCAGCTTTTTGTCATCCCTGTTCTTCAGTTTGCCAGGGGCCTCGGCGGTGGGCATGGAGGAGTGGAAGATGAAGAGCTTCCCACTGCATTCTGCTGCCTGGAGTGAAGAAGACAATGATGAGAGAGAGTAAAGATCCGAAAAAGAAAATCAAACTGAGGTGTGTAGTTTATAGTTTAAAAAGGAATCCATGAGGTCACAAGGTGCAAACATCCACTCCTGCAAAGGATCAGATAATCCTCATAATAACAAACATTATTTACAGAGTACTCCCCTGTGTTGCAAAATAAACTGATAACCAAAGATTGAGATGTAAGCAATACCCAAAATAAAAATATGAACAGGCATGAACAAATACAAAAGCAACAACTGCTTCCAATTAAACTTTAGTGAACTTTTCCTTTACTGTGTGCCAAAAGACTGACCTCATTTTACTGGGAAAGTTTGTTGACTTGAAAGTAAACACAAACATATCAGGAAGAGAAAAAAAGAAACTTCACTGAGCTGATAGGTTGAATGAGTTCAGACACCGACGCCAAAGTTGGCGGGGGGGGGGGGATGTTTTGACGAATTCAAGCAATCTTACTGGGGTGGATTCAGTGCGATTTCTCTTTAGATTATAACTGGTTGACCTTTTCACAAAAACACACAGTTATAAAACACAGTTCCAAAAAATGACAAGTGTGTTAGACGTGCTAACACTGCTGCTAATCAGATGTAGCTTGTCACATAGGATGCTTCCAGCTGTGCTAATGATGTCTGATCTTTCACTTCCTTAAGACAATAAGACAACAGTGTACATGCAAATTTAAAACCTTTGAAACCTGGAGCAACATCGCTTTTTCTTGTGATGCTTTCAGACGCTTTTTGCAAGTATTTAAAGCAGCCACACAAGACTCAGAGACGTTGCAGTCGGCCCTGAGTCTCCCACTTCGTGTTGACAGTTGTCACAGTGTGGCTAACCTTGAATGCCTCCATGCCGGCCTGGATGACAGGAGCAAAGACCGTTTCACTCTCATTGGTGTCTGCAAACATATCAGGGATCTGGTCCAGGAGGCTGGAGAAGAGAAGAACGGGGTTATTCTCACTGCCTTGTCGATTGCCTTCCCACGACAACGTCTGGTTGAAACGGATCCAAGTAAAATACTGTACACTGATCCAGTATTTTGTCTTTGTCGTATTGTTTTTTACTTCAAATAGATTGTTCTTTAAATATTTGACTGAAGCCATGTTAATGTCCATTTCAAATTAAACAGTTTCCTGTCCAGTGATAGCAAAATATTTTTGTTGTTTAGCTGGATTACTTTAGAGAGTTCTCGGGATAAACATGCCTAATTCTCTCTCCCCCGACAGCATGGGGCATCCAAGATAAACAGCTCCTCCACAAACTCATAACAAGTTGTATCTTACTTGTAGATAACAGCCCTGGAGTCCTGATAGTTGACGAGGAAGCCATCAAGCAGCGGGACAAACATCTCGGCTGTGTCTGAAACCACCATCATCTGGGGCTGGGCCAAAGCGCTCTTCACGTTGTAGAAGTGGAGGACCTTGTTGTAGGTGACGAAGCCAACCTTGATGGCAGAGCTCTCCATACCATCCTCTCTGTTGAGGGAGAGAGAGCAAGCCTCAGTGAATTTGTGGATCTTTCTAGTAAGTCAAACTGTCATCCTGCAGTCATTACTGAGATCTTACTGTATAACTGCTTGCAGGACTGTTTATTAAAAAAATCTGGTTTATTTGGGATGGCCATCCCTCTCAAACTGGAATAACATCCAATATGGACGTGTTTATTAAGACATACTACATCTCCTTCCTCTCTCTGGGCTGTGCTGCAGAAGGCTCAGCCATTTTAGGACAAACTACATCTTTTGCTTCCCCCTCTTTTAAGACTTACTACATCTTCTTCTTCTCCTCCTAGATATACTACATCTTCTCCCTCTCTCTGGGCTGTGCTGTAAAAGGCTCAGCCAACTAAAACACACTACATCTTCTTCCCCCTCTTTATAGACGTATTGCACTGCTGGGAAGACATTCATTCCATAAAACTGGCCTGTCTTTGCAGCAGAAAGACACAAATGCTTCTAAAGTTGGTGCTACATGACCCGAGGAAACAGAGAAAGGGCTGTGGCATTTGCTTTTCCTCAAGAGGTAAAAAACCTACAACTACCACAATGCACTGCGCCAACAAAACAGTGAGCTAAGGTGAGAAATAGGCAACGCAGTAGTAGAATCTTGGTTCGTATTTTATCAGCACTGCTTAGTTTTACCATTCAATCTCTTTTTTTTTTCAGCCTCATTTTTACAATGCAGGAAACAGTATGGCGCCCACTTTCTGTTCACAAATTCTTGTATTACAGCCAAACAGTGCACTAAAATATGTTTCTGAAGAACATTTTAGATGAGAAATATGCATTCAATCTGTAGTTTGAGCAAGAGCTTCAAACCTAGCAGGGAGATCTGGGCACTGGTAAGATGGAGGGAGGTTTACCACAGTTGATTTACACATACTATCTGCATTGTTGTGGTACAAAGCTGGTTGAGAATCTGCAAGGTATCCCTTTTAAGTTTGAGCTAACATGCTAAGATCCAAAGAGAAATAGATCCAGGTTTACAAAATTCAAGTAAATGTTGGTTGCTGAGAAAAACCACTAGATCCATTTACTTGACTGTACTCATGCCTGCTATTTTTTCTCCTTGTCTTTTACTCAGTATTACAATCAAATAGCTTCTAGATTCACACTGAAAAAAATGAGGGAAATGTTATATATTATATGTCTGTATTTTCCTAATAATTTCCTATTAAGGTGTCTGGAAATAACTATGTAACATATTTGCAAAACCTACAGAGAAGATATGAATTTCCTTGAAAGAACTGCTCAATTTAAACCAAAATGAGTATTCATTTACTTCGAACCCTGAGCAACTTGGTCTGATTTTCTTCAAACAATTATTACTCAAAAAGTAATAAGCAACTTGGCAAAAAAAAAGTCCTGCAAATTGCACACAAAAAATAGAAGCTTCAGGAAACACTAATCATAGAAGTGATAAAAAATAATAATAATGAAAAATAAGCTCAGGAAAAATGTCCAGGAAACAGTTATTTTAAGATAGGTTTTTTGTACTTTTTTTTGCTAATTTTCAGGTCATTTTCTTGCACTGTTTTCTTTCCCTTTTTTTTTGCTGTATCTAAGGTAATTTTCTTTCTTTCTTGAACACAAGACCATAAATCAAAACCTTTCGCCATCATAGTAATTTAAAAGCATTCTTTGCCGACACTGCCAACTGCAGTTTGTACGTCTCTCTTCTTAAATCATGCCGACACACTAAGGAACATGCAACGTGGGTCAAAACAGTTACTGCAAAACCCTTTGAAATAAATATGCCACTGCTCAACTATGAGCCCACAGCTTCTCTGTGAACATTAGTCACAGGTGCTGTTGGAAATAACAGATTCAGACTGGACTAGTTTATTTGATTACTCTCATACTGTACCAGACAATGATTAAAAAATACCAGTGATGATTAAAAAAAGTCTACGTCTACATCTGCGTTTACTTAAAGTAGGCTCTGGCTTTATCTTGAGTGAATTAAACACGCATTTGGCAAAAACTGCTGAACGACATGAACTAAAACGCAGAGTGTCCGAATGCTTTAATTTAGTGCCCGTAAAAACAAACGTAAAGCTTTAAACACAGAAGAGAGGGCTTATCTTAAATACACTTCTACTAAGTGTTTTAAGGATGATGTCATGGCAGCAGACAAATGGGAACGTACTGCTGCTGGCACTAATGAAGTGGAGAGACGAAAGGACAGTTTTCATGTTATTTTTAGGAATAACCAGGTGAAGTACATCATCCTCTCCCCCGTGATAAATCAAAAACTCACTTGTGCAGTGATGCTTAGCACAAAACCAGTGTTTTCTGTGCAACAAAGGGTTTTATTTTGGATGGCTTTCAAAGATGAGAGCCTGCACTGTAATATTTTCCATTTCTGGCAGCCTTGGTGCCCTCCCTAACCGATACCCACCATCTGCAAACCTTCATGCAAGAATATTCAGCTGATGAGAGCAGATAGTTGGCTTGGTGTTTAAGACTTGAGGGAAGTTCCTTTTTGGGCAAGGCATATGTTTAATGTGAACTGTGGTAGACTGGAGTGTCAGTGTAAAAGATGCATAGCACTTAATGTATCAAGTGTGTATGTGTGTTTTTCTGATATATTGTGTTGTACCTGGGCAGATTCTCCAGCAGAGTCTTCAGCTCATCACAGATCAGTTTGACCAGTCCGCTTTTGATGTTGTTGTAGGACACGTCAATCATAAAAATGTAGGCGGGAGGGTTCGGAGGCTTGTTGTTCTGTGTGAGAAGAAGGCAGCAGGTGTCATGAATAAGTTGCTATTTTAAAATCTTTCCAAGGTCACATGGCTTGTCATTTAAGGTCTTAATCATACCATATCAGCAGAGGGCAAAAACCTAGGGGCTGCCTTCCACCTTCCATTTCTGTTATTAGTTCTTGAATACCAGAGATATGATTTCTGTTAGCGCCTGCTTAGAACTTGGGGTAGCTGTGAGAAGACCATGACGGTTATGAATTCCTGCATGGTCGGCAATGGCAATGGAGTGTGTGTGTGTGTGAGGGGGATTGGTGGTAAGACATTGTTATGTTGCCACAGCTACAACCCATGACAAGACAATCACCTTGCAGGCTTTTGTTTAAGAGCTGCCCAGCAGAGGCTGTTTATACATCTTAATAAACAGAGCAAAAGTAGGCCAGTGGAGTGACTCAGCTTTGCCAGCTTACTCGAACCCTCTAATGTTGTTCTCAACAGCCACAGCCCCCATGGGGATGTGCACCTGATTGGCCTTGCTGTCTTTCCAGTGTTCGCAAAACAACGGAGCTGAACACTGTCTGTTCTGCATTCAGTTTTGAGAAGGCTCATGATGGATAATGTAGGGTGCCAAAAGGTCCCTCAGAAAAAACAGTAATGCAGTATAGATGGCGGTAAAAGATCCTTTAGTAGTTGTGCTGTACCTTGCAGTAGTCAAGGGTGGCTACGAACTCGTAGGATCCCAGTGACAGCTCGGGCTTCTCATAGAAGTCCACCCTCCGGCCCATGTGGTCAAGGTGTTGGAAATAGTAGACTGGCACTAGAGAAAGATAAAGAAATAAATCAAGTGTGCGCATTATATAAATAGTTGGCTGCTTAGCCTTTTCTGCATTGTACCTTACCTTCACTGGTGCAGTTACAGAAGCCACACTGGTAGCGACGACCCCCATCAATAAACTGCATGTAGGGACACATGTAGGCCTTGCATCGATTGCAGCGGATTGGGCCTGTCTCGCCGTGGTTCACAACATATAGAGGAGTCTACACACACAAATAGACATTATGGTCAAGTCTTTAACAGCTGTTCCTAAATAAAGCAGGCTCGTGTGTTGCAAGATCAGTGCCTTAAAAGGAAGTTGATGATTATAAGTGTTTAATCCCCTGTGACGTTTCCCATGTTTTCATTAATGCAGTATTTACTGTACTTGGACCGTACTCTTGCTCATCCTACTGTACTGTACACACATGTAAATTCTGCTCTGTCTGATGCCTCAGTGATTCCATGGCACCCAAACAATACACATGTATATACAGAACATTTGTCTGACATAGATTGTAAATGCTTAGCATGAAGCTATTTGATAATACATATACCACAGCACTGTTAGTGAGTAACATATGCAGGCCTGCAGATGACGGAAACTGTCTAAACGCTGTTTATTCAAGACTCTCTGCAGGCTGAATTGAAAACTTTTGCTTCAAATGAACTCAACTACCATAAAACACATGCAGACAAGGTAGTGTAGAGTAAAAATGTTTACATTATCTTACAGCTGTTTACTCGTTGCAGAGAACAAAACCTGTTGGATGATAAAGCAATGCATACAGCATCCAAGCACAACAACAGAGCATTAATTAATACGTCTTAGAATTTTGCTTTAATTGTACAGTGTATATGCTCCAAGTCGCACAAGATGGAATCAAATTTGAAAGTGCAAAATACTCAAGTTTGATTGCTTTTGTATAAACTTTCTCCTTTCTTCTTCTGTGGTCCCTGTAGATCTGACATTAGCTAATTAGCCCAAAGCCAGATGAGAGAACGCTAACATTGCCTAAAAAGGCCAATGGGTGCCTGGGACAAGGCGAGTGGAGGGGGGAAATATCTACAGCAGGATTCTTGGACCACATATGATCCAAAAGGAGGTCATTCACAGGACAGCGTAACTTTTTTAGTGCACGGAGACATCTATCAGAGGAGAGGTAGATTTGGTGGTTGCTTGCTCTACTGTCCCAAAGTGATATTTAGTTTTTTAATAATCTTTTAAAAAAGAAAAGCAGACGTTTCAGTCTCTGTCCTACAAGTAAATGCCACAGTAGGATATCACAAACAAAACCTTGTGTCTCAATTAAGGCTTTAACTACCTATGAACTGCTGTAACAACTAAAATAAAGATAGACTTCAAAAAATGTGAGATTCGAATAGGAGAATATAAAAACATCCTCCATGGGAAATAAAATCATTTTGTGTAATTGTAATAATTTTGTGTTACTACTTCTGTCTCCTGTAGTGTAATGTACCTGTTTAGTCTTATGCTTTAGTATCAGTTGACCTTTAAAAATACATGTCCAGGCAGTATACTCTGCTTGATCATAACCAGTCACACCAAGGTTTATTGTTTCATGTATCCACATAATGTGCACACACACACTCACTCATTGGCGTATTGTATTTGATGCAGGATCTGATAGGATCTGATGTTCAAGGACTGAAGTGGGAAGTACCTTGGATGTGATAGGATTTGATGTGCATGTATGACACCATTATGTTCGGGCTTATGTGGGAAGGATTAAAGAGAAGAGCATAAAAGAGAGCACACAGAAAGCAAAACATCAGTCCTGCTCAAGAGCTTGACTCATTGAGTTGTATGTGTTGTTGCCTGCGAACACATTAAACTCAGTTGCACTCGATTCTACGTGTCTACAGTGATTCCTTGACTGCTGAGTATTTGTTTTTAAAGATACTTATTTTGGACAAGAGCAAAAGTAGTCTAAAAGTTGAAGACGAGGTCGGGACCCACCAGGCCCAATTCCGGGCCCCAAATTCTGCTTCATCACTCCCACAAGTGTTCTTGTAAGTTTCATTAGTCATTCTTGAGATGACGGTGTACAGCATTCAAAAAACCCAACTCACTCTAAGGAGAGAAATGCTTTGGTGTGGTGTGAATGTTTTTGCATGCAAAGTTTCCTGTATAGAGAAGTTAGGCCCACCCAAGAAGATTTTTGTCCTTTCAAAAGTCTGCATGGCAGTGCGAAAATACAAACTGATTAAAAATATGGCTGATGCATTGATGAGTAACATACAGAATTGGAGAAAAAAATCAAAATAACTCTCCATCACAGACTCCTCAAGTGATGAGTGCTCCCAACAGAAGTTTGATCAGACTTTATCATAGCAAGTGACGGTGTTGTTTTTAGATAGGGCAACTGACTTTAAGTTAGAAGTAAAACAAAGCTTACCTCATTCTTTGGCAAACTGGCAAAGGGTTTAATGATGGAAGCCAGGGGCACTTGGCACTGTTTGGCCAGATCGGCAGTGCAGGGTAGGGAGTAGGTGGTGCAGCGCATGAACCTGGGACTGGCGTTGCCTGGGTTTGTCAAAAAGAAGGGTCAGTGACGTCAATATCATGACAAAGCACTTTTCTTTTACCACTCCCTTAGAGCAAAGTGTAGACTGTAATTATCCATGCATTAATTTACTATCACCAGAAACGGTCAGTAATTACAATTCTGAAGAAAGGTTTGCGCAAAAGTACATTTTGAGCAAGGACCTTTTAATTATATACCACAAATCACATAGAAATGACTGGATCTGCACAACATGTACAAGTACACATGCTGTATATATCTGTAGCTGCTCTTTCCAAAGGAAAAAAATGTTTGGAGAGAAGTTTAAATGTTATTATGAGTTACCTTGGTCCTCTGCTGTGAAGTCGGTGGTGACCAGAGGTGGAACTTGTCCTCTGATGTTTGTGCTGTAGACCTGTCCCCCTTGTTTGACTCGGTCATCCTCAATGACTTGAGTCTAAAGCAGACAAGTTATGTATTACAGAACAGTCTGTGTCCTTTAGAGTTGTTCAGTAGGTACCATGTAATTTTAACAAAGAAAAGATTTAAGTCGCCTACATACACCCAGTGGCTGGTTCAAAATGTGGAATGACGTGTGGTATGTTGATATGTGAAGGTATGCAGTCTCAGGAGGATTAGTCGTCTACTCACTATGCTGGGGATAGAGTCAGGGTCCAGTTTCTTCTGAGGTGGTCCAGCCAGTCCTCCTGGTGCTCCAGGGAAGGCTCCTGGCATGCCTGGCTGGGGCCCAGCCATGTGTCCCCCGAACTGACCTGTACATCAAAGCAGGATAGGCTGGCTATTAAATTATATGTATTGGGTATGGTGTAAAGATGGAATTGTACACAGCATGTTGACTTGATAACTTCTGATCTGACTGCTCCAATACTAGCTACGAGAACATATTGTTTTATGTTTATCAAAAGGATAAAGATGGAGATTCAAGCATCACCACATGAAAAGATTAAACATTTTCTGTTGTGAATGGTGATTTTTCTTTTACATATGTTCATTAACTGCCCCTATTTGCTGGTGTTTCTATCTGTCTGTCCAGCAGGTGATGTCTCTTATCACATCATCCATACGCTGAGCTGATGACCACAAATCAGTGTCTCTACCAGTAAGTAACTCAACTGTTTTTGGTTTACAGTGTCACAGTTACCTCCTTGCTGTGGGTATCCTGGTGGACCAGCAGCTCCAGGACCAGGCTGCTGGAAACCTCCAGGGCCCGGAGGCCCAGGGAAGGGTCTACCCATGCCTGCCATAGGTGGGCCTCCCATAGGTGGACCAGCCATCGGTGGGCTTGACATCGGTGGGCCTGCCATCGGTGGGCTTGACATCGGTGGGCCTGCCATTGGCGGGCCTGCCATCTGTGGGCCTGCCATTGACATGCTTGCTGGGGGTGACTGTGGTGGAGACATCTGGGGAGACATGTGAGGTGACTGCGGGCCTGGAGGCATCTGTGGCTGGCCCATTGCTGGAGGAGGGGGTGTTTGGAAAGGCTGCTGAGCTACAGAGCTTGCAGGAGAAGGGCTCTGCATGGGACCTGGAGCTGCACAATTAAAAAGTGAGGTGAAGAAATGCAATGTGGTGAGGACATTTTCTAATCCCTGTACTATCCTGTCTACTGATGTAAGATGATTACTTGGCTATGTATGCCACACCCTGCTGTATGATCTGTAGCAAGTATAAATCCTTAAATGGCAAACTTACCGTAGTTGCCCATGTTCATAGCACTCATCTGATTAGTGAGCTGCTGCGTTGGAGGCGGGGCCGGAGAAGCCATATTGTTGTACTGGGACTGTGGAGGTCGTCCATAAGATGCAGAAACAGCTGGTGGAGCAGGATATCTGAGGATTATAAGAACACTTTTTAATACAGCAGGTGCAGTGTGGTCTCGTGATGTACTCATCACCTGAAGCTGATTTTAACATGCAGTATTAAAGTTTGCTAACATGGTCTGAATAGATATGTTGGGTCTAATCCTTCCTGATTAAAAAACAGTTTTTTACTTGGGCAATCACAGAGTTTAGCGATTTAGCAACAAGAAAAAACAGACTGCTTTCTTTCTGTATTTTCCCCTGCACATTCGCTTTATGTTGATTTCAGAGAGAAAACTAGCCGTGCCAAACAGTTGCTGTTTAGTGAAGATTGTTACCTTTGTGGATGTGCGCCATTCTGCTGGACATTTGGATTGTACTGAGTGGACACTGGAGGTGGAGGCATACCGGCAGCAGAGGAAACTGGTGATTTCATCATACCTTCAGAAAGAAAACAGACGCCACGTGTAAATGTTATCAGAGGTAAATTCATTCTTGCTTACAATCTTTGATACAGTATAGACTTCTTTTGTTGCTAGACCTTTTCACTGTAAATATATAAGAGAGCTCAGGGTTCTTACAGGGTCAGAGTATAGGCATCAGTGCGGACTGAGACTGCCATTTTAAAGGAATGCTACATACAGCTAAGTGTGTAGTTTGCCTAAACAGATCTCTTAACGTGAAAGGGTTGATCCAAACAGACACCTGATTCCAGTGCTGTCCTGACCTTTCTAAAAAACTACTGTCAATAGCTCTACAGAAAGTCTAGGGACTGGTTTGCACTTCAGTCATACAGAGCTTGCTTCAGTGTGCTGTGACATTTAATATAAAGCCAATAAAGTTACTGTATCTTTGCTTGTGCTTCCGGTACCTCACATGTGTGCTACCACAGCGGTATAGCAGCACATTAAATATCTAAAGGCCAGAAAAACAAATTAAATCAATGACAGATAAAACATAATGAACACTATGCTACAAAACATCTTTAGCTGCAAACTAAGACATGTTATATACTATTACTCATATCCTGCAAATATCCATGTCAGCCGAAAACCGAAACCCAAACTTCATCTCTGAAAGCTTAGCAATTGTCAGCTTCTGTTGTGCTACAGAGACAGAGCACTTGCTACAATTGATATAAATCGAGCATGAATGAGTTGATCATGCTAGCTAGCACAATTGCACTTGTTAAATGAAGGCCTTCAACAAGAGTTCAAGTCCTTTACCTGCTGGTGGAGCATTGAACGCTTGAGGCGGTCCCCCATAGTGCCCATAGAGAGGCTGAGCAGGACCGGTACCAAATCCACCTTGGTAGCCCCCCATCCCTGGCTGGGCCTGGGAGTATGGGGGTGCAGCAACATAACCCTGTTGACTCATTCTGATGGGATGTTACTGTCTTCTCATGCCAGGATGAATGAGTTTTGACAACCTGTGAAGTTGAAAGAGTGAAATTGGAGATGAAACAGGAGAAAGGGAAACAAGTAATACAGAAATAGAAACTGAAACTTGCTGGTGAAAGCATGCCATTTTTGGAAAGTAATGTTTCCATCCTGTAATAAGTGTCAATAAATTTAGCATGATTACAAATCCATACTAACAACAAGTGATATTTGACTTCATGCAATCGTCTACACTCGTGTAACATGGACCTTTGGCATTGCTTATGGAGAGATAAGGCAGGCCTTACCTTGCTAATATTACCTTTGGTGGCTACATGGGTTGTCACTTATTGTTTTGCTGTCAGAACTACAATGCAATGTCCCTAACATCTGCACAATTCCAGTAATAAGGATACCTATATTATAAATAACATTTAAACGCACTGGTAGCAAACTGCAGCCTTTCACAATAAAAGTCCCAAAGCAGAGGGCCTATAGACTACTTCAGGGTGTCAAAGCTTTAAAACAAGTTGAACTTCGGCACAGCTGGGTCAACAGAAATAACAGCTGCGCACTGACAAGTCATTTATTACAACATAATAAACCAGTTTAACACATTCTACCCAAACTAAACCCACGAAGAAGAAAAATTAACCGTTGTTAATTGCTCAGTTCGACAGTTAATAGTGTCTGCCACTTCTGACAATTGCCACGTCAAAGACCGTTATGATAGCTAAAACATTTGAGCATCCCTGCCTTCCTTTAAGTCACAGCCAGCTGAACGGACATACATGTTATCCTCTATCTAATACCATATTTTCTATGACATAAAGCTTAACACTTTGTGGAAAGAGCGCAGTGACATGATAGCACAGCATCTTGTCCAGTGTTAATTACCTATTGACAGAAAACATCTTGCTAGCTACGCCGAAATTACTACAAAGTTTTCCTTTGCGCCACAAACGCATTCAATTCAAACATACATACCTTCAAATAGAGGATAATATGAGGCAGAATAAGACATTTGTGTTGGCTCCATATGTAAATAATGTCGTAATGGTGTTTACCTGAATATCGGGCAGAGTCCTCTTCACTGTCTATTGCCCTCAGTGGAAGCAGAGTGCCACGTCAAACTCCACTACAGCACCGGTCGCTACGTTGGTAACGCGACGACAAGCACTAGTGTCGACGAGGAGGAAATGACTCACAGTTTCCGGTTGTGCTTTTCAAAATAAAACATTTAATGACGAATAAACGTTCTTACACGATATAAATTACACAAGCACAATACTCGTTTCTGACAATATAGCTATTTAAAGCCAAGGAAAGTAATTTGACGTTCTGTACGCTTAGTTATTAATGTTACAGCGTTACATTATGCTTTTATGTTGAAGTGTAAACAGTTACCCTTCTGGCTTTGGTCGCTGTGTTTTCAGCTAACTTGAGAGGGCCCGTCAGTCGTGTCTGGCGTTGTGCGCATGCGTGAAAAAGCGGGACCCCATACACGTCAGCACAGGGGATGTGGACCTGTGCGGCTATTGTAATGTGAGTTTCATCATTATCTGAACACTGAACAGTTTTGACTTTCTGTTATGATAAAATCATAACATAAATTCATTTTATAAATAAGGACAACATAAGAAAGTGGTGAGAGATTTTCTTAGCTTTATTGATTAAGCAGAAGAGAGTTCCAGTTGTAGGACCGTAAAACCTGCACATATAGCCTAGTTATATGTATGTACAAGCTGTGAAACAGCCTTTTTTACCTTCTATATTTACACACAAATCATGTCCCGGTGTTTTGTTTTGTTTTTTCTTTTAATTTTTAATTACATCATGGGAGAAAATGTAAAGGATACAGGCTCTATAATTGAACAGTTAAATTAAATTTCTATGGGTGGTTTTATGTGAGTAATTCAGGCTCCAGACCTTGAAAACATTATCCACGGCTCTGATAGTGAAGTAATGTCACCAGGGGCGTCATAGTAGAGGGGGAAGTGGGACTTATTACCCAGGGCTTTAATTGGAAGGAGGCCCTTGATAAGTCTGGAATGAAACTTTAGGTTTGTTAACAAGTAATTAAAGCCATTAAAATGGCTGAGAAAATTAGTTGAAAGGCTAAACTTAAACTTGTATTTAAAAAATGGTGGAGGATCTCTGAGACCCCTCTCACCCCTTAAAAACACAAATGCTTACATCCGGCCCTGCATTAGGATTCCTCTCTCAATGCAGACAGAGCCAGGTTGCTGGAGCATGAATGTACACTGTCACATCTTTCCCCAAATAAGATAAACAAGGGTCCCAGAGAAGAAAAGGAAGGAAAGAAAATGAAGCAAATTTACTTTGAAAGAAAAAGTTGCATGAAAGAGATAAGGGATCAAGACAGGACAAGCAGGGAGCCCACATGGACTGCTTTTGCATATGGGTCCAGAATTTGGTGCTACGCCCCTGAATGTTGCTGTAGGAAAGAAATAGGCCTAATTATAAAGCCAAAGCACTCAGATTATGGAGATAATAAACAAGGATGAAATAGGTGTGCCACCCTTCCTGCTGCAAAAGACTGTAAATAAGATAAGATCGCGTAATTACAAATACTCTCATGCTGCCATAAGAAATTGCGTTAAAATCTATTTACTGCAGAAGCTTGGTGAGATTTATTTTTCAAAGTATCGTGTCGAAGTTATCCCATGTTTATTAGGATGCCACAGCTGGAGGCAGGCTGTAACATTCAAGTTCAAGAGATCACCATGACAAACCACCAGTTGCATGCAACGCCTGCAGGCGGGTCCGTGCGCCGTGACGTCTCTCAGAGCGGGTTGGACTCAGGGAGAACTCAGATGATGGGGGTTATACAGCGGTGTGGTGGAGGTGGTTTTTGCAAAGTGCTGTTGGTCCGGCTGACAGCTCGATGTTCGCGCTGTGGAGGTTTGGCTGAGGAGCTGTGCGCAGCATGGGCACCGGGGATTACATCTGCGTTACGCTGCGTGGTGGTGCACCCTGGGGATTCACCCTGAGAGAGGGAGAGGGGGACACCTACAGACCCTTTTTGGTCTCCAAGGTATCCATCTATGTATCTGTCAGACTGATAGGTGTTCATGTTATTCACATCAAGGTATTAATGTGAGGTGGAACCGCATTATCTGGAAGTTTTACAGAAAACATCCACATTCCTAAATGTGGATTACAAGTTCCATATCTGTGGTATCAGCTCTGATCAAGTTTTGTTTAGGAATTCAGTGACAAAAGTGTGTTCCAAAAGTTGAACATCTCCTGGTGGGAGAGTATTGGGAGAGCAATGCTTATCGCTGCATTTTTGTGTGCGTTGGCTGGGTTTTGGTGCGAGATTCCTCGGGACCCTTATATGGTCAAGGCCAAGAGAGAGTGTGAGGCTGAGGGCAGTGGGATCTGTCATCTCTCACACAGACTTCAGCAAAACAGCAAAGCGTTATTCAGACGAGTAGTCAAGCTGGAGAGTGAAGAGTGTGAGGAGAGGTATGCAGGGATACCTATGCAAACAAACTAACAAGTAAGCTGAAAGTCATCTGACGTCACTCTAAAAGAACATTCAGATACATGACAGGAAGGAGGGTTGGCAAATTTTGGTTATGCTATTACTACTTTGACTACATGACATTTGTTTAGGCTGATAATGTGGTAATAAACCTCACAGGTAACAGTAGAGGATTTCAGCTGCCCTCAGGTGAAGCCGCTTTCCTGATGATGCTCAACTGGCAAGTCAGTTCTTCATACATTTACCCTCATGTCTATGTGAAGTCATCAAATTGTCAGAAATAGAGACAGCTGATATTTTGCTGTGATGTGAACATGCACTGAGAGAGGTACAGCCAGGTGTCTTTACTTTGAAGACCTGCCGAGACACTATATATGGTATAGCAACGCATGTTCACAAGTGCTCAAGTTGTCCAGATCCCTCGTCAACTTTTCCTCAACATAGTGAACATGTAAATGTTTTTCTTAAGCTGCATTCCTGCGACATCAAAGCTCCCACCAGAGGAGAGAGAGCACTCTGAAAGCAGCAATAGATCACTCGAATGACAGATGCTTAGCACTTTCAAACAATCAAAGCCACAATTCAGATGTTCATCTGTGACTTTTATTGGGATTTTTGTCTGAATATTGTTATTATTTCCACATTTGTTGGCGGGAAATAGTCTTTTGTAATCGTGCAGGTGGATACACATCAACTGAAGCGTCAAACTAGCTCATAAACATCTGGTTAGTTGATTTTAAGAGACTGAAAATAATATTATAATTGATTCTGGCTTTTAATACATGATAATTGCTCTATACCCTGATACTGCAGGTCAAAATTGTTTCACAAAATCACAAATGTAGGCTGCAGACAACTTCAAGATCCAAGCAAATTCTTGTAGATCCACAGCAACCTGCCAAGCCTGTTCATTTTCATATATACAAATACTCCACAAAGTCTTGTACACACAAAATTAGCAGCAACTGTGAGGTTTAGTAAACGAGCCAACACTTAAAGTCGCAGTCCTTTTCCCCATATGGGGGAATGCCCCCTACTTCTAATGTTTCAGTGTTAATTTTCTCTTGAAACTTTACAGTCTAATTCTACACATAAATGGGGTGTTAGAGTATTTTAGCCTGCAAAGAGTCTTGTAAATACACTAAGTGTTGGCCTATTAAAGTGAGGTAGCGACATGATGCTTAGGCCTCAGCGCAGGGTATCTGGAGGTTTTAGTCCCCCTCATCTGGAAGGCATAACTCTAAACATACCTCCAAACTCTTCTTGTGGGAAGGACGGTGAGCCAAGTCTGTTAGTTACAAGTCAAAAAACAAACATACCAAGATCGTGACAGATACTCTCAGTTTAGAGGCTCTCCTGTGTCTGATAAAATGTGTGTGTTTTAAAGCTTCTGTTGAATGTGGTGGAAACTTTTGTTTTGTTTCCTGAGAGAAAGTGATTGTTCAGTGTACTGACAGGCAGTACAGTGTAGGGGCATGGGGTATCCACTCTTAAAAGGTTCTTTCCATATAAGGGAGGCCGTATTTTTCTTCTTCTTCGGAGTGCTGGCCTGAGTACAAAGTGGATGAGGTCACTTTATTTTTAAAGCTACAGAAACTGCACAATGCAAGATTCTTACAAGTCGTGACCCACGAACACACCGACGCACCTTGAGGAAAACACAGAACAGTTTACATCTGATCTATAGTGCTCGTTTTGGATGACTTTGCATAAGTGAAAAGACTTAGATGCAAAACTCAACAAAAAATCGCTTAACAGGAGACATTTTGGCCTCCTAATTACGAAGGTATGCCATCTTGGTATGTGGAATGTCAACATGCATCAGATCAGTTATGGAGCACTGGATGACAAAACAAATGTAATGAAAGTCTGAGACTTCTCAGAGTATGAACTAATCCAAATGTTATCCCTATTCCATTTAAGTATGTTCATAGCTTGTAATAAAAGTCCTCCTCCTCTGCCTGGGTTATCTTGCCCTTTTCCAGAGCAAAGAGGGCCCTTGTTGCCGATTTCTCACTCCTAATAGTGCACCATAGGAACCTCATTAAGCTGCCAAGCAATCAGCAAAAATGCCACGGCTTCATTCATTCAGCGCCATTTTCCCAGAGTAAACAAAGTGCTTCACAGCTCCTTCCATTACTGGAGTTTTTGGCTTTGTGTTTTCCAGCAAAACATCGACATCCTGGTCCCAGGAGAGAGAGCAGTGACCTCAGCTGATGACTGTGCTAGTTTTTCCCCCTTTTCTGGTTCACATCATCTAAACAGATAAAGACCAAAGCTGCAACTGCTTTATATTTCGATGATATAGTTGTGAGTTGCAGTGTTCCTGGCTGTGGATGCTCCTTGCCAGCTGCAGCCAAAGTGAGGCCCAGATGGACTTAGATGTGACTCACCGACAGTCTTGTTTTCAGCTTTGTGACAAGGGAGTTTTCAGCCAAACCAAAGGTTTTTTTTTGTTGTTGTAGTATATTTAGCGTAAGAAACCATAAAGGAGCAGTCCCTCAGTTTATCAAAAAAATTGATACAAACAATAGTAAATGTTGCAAAATGTACCTGTAAGTACATTTAGTTTTATCCCATTGGTCAAAATCTGTGCTTTCAGTCATTAATTAATCATAATAAAGGTCCAGTATGAAGGATTTTGGGGGGGATATGTTGGCAGAAATGGAGTGCAATGTTCATAAATATGTGTTAATTCGTGTATAATCACCTGAAAATAAGAATCGTCGTGTTTTCATCACCTTAGAATGAGCCGTTTGTATCTACTTTCAATGTTCAACTTCACCACTAGATGCCACTAAATCCTACACACTGCACCTTTAAGTTGTAATTTTATTGACAAATATTATTTACATAATACCTATGTAGGCTTCTTTCAAAAATAAAAGTACTTCCCAAAACCCAATTTAAGAAACATTTGTGCAAAGTCATCTTAGATCAAATTAAAGTCAAGGATAAATACTGAGAACTTGAGCTCTTGTATAAACACACACATAATTCAGCATAACACAATGCAGTGCAGTGTGTTAGCAACAAGTTGGAAATTGTTTGCAGGAGAGGGGCATATTGGCTAGAAGCTTAATCTGGCACAATATATATCACTTTTTGTACATGGCCCCTGACAAATGTGATGATGAAATAACTAAACTAACCTCTCTGATGCTGGAAACGTTTCTACACCTCTCCTCTTACGAAGAATACATCCATGGACAAAGACATTAGATGTAACTATCCTCCCACATGGTGTGAGTCTACCTGTTGGGCAGCTGGAAAATATTTCCCTCAAATGTTAAAAACATAATTACTTAAAGCTGTGAAGGGCAGGAACCGCCAGGAGCTGTGTGGATAACATGATGCAGTCCTGTATTTCCTGCGATTTTCTGTTGTGTCGAAGCCTGTTAAACAGATAATTTGAAAATGGGCAACCCAGGATAGGGGCTTATAATGTTGTCTAATTGGTGGCCCCACATGATGTCAGTAGTAAAATCCGCTGCTGATCACGACAATTTTGGGAAGCACTTTATTGTAAAAACTGGCTATTTATTTGCCATCCTTTCCTGCACCATCACTGGAGACTTTCTCTTTACGCGCAGCATATGACAAACAGGATTAAGACACTAGGTGCTATCTGCCTGCTTTGAACGTTGCCTGACTGCCTGTGTATCTTTGTGTTGTGAGAAGAGACAACGATAAATGTTTCCCCTCCTTTTTTGGAGCAGGAGCGGTTGCTGGGGCCTTGGAGACAAACCTTCTTCCCTGTAATGAGGTGTCCCGATAGACAGGCACACAGGCGGCCTTATAGGGTCTGCTTGCACACTGTTAACTGTTAAAAACTCAGGGATGGAGTCACAGGGGGTTTATCTGAGAGTTAGCAGCCCTATAAAGTAAGTCATAAAATATTTTTGTATATATAGGAAAGTAGGCTCATTTTATTGCTTCAGGCTTATGTGGTAAAGGTTCTGTCAAAAAAGGAGTTAAGGTAGTGCTCCTTGTTGATGTTGGCACACTGCAAAAAAATAGTTTGCATCTGTCTTTGCAGTACAAGTAATGACACAAAAGTCAACAAGCAACAGAGGCGTGCCAGACAGATGAACTGATTCACTGAGACTGGTTGTAATATGGCTCTGTCTCTGGTGCACAAAACAGGGGGACACAGGGATTCTCCTCTTCCTCCTATGTCAAAAGATATGTGTGTGTGTGTGTGCGTCGCCATCTAGTGACAAGATTGTTTTACTGCAGGTATCTCAAGTTGGATTCATGTCAATTGAAAAAGGACCCTTTGGTGTGTTATCTCATGTATCCTACCATGTTTCCTCCGTCCTGTCACCTTACCTGCATGACCATAACGTATGAAAACCCAGCAAAGCAGGAGAAAGCACCAAAGACTGTCTGCGTGTTGTGTTGTTAAACTTAACAGGGTGATGGATGACCACAGTTTTAAGTTCTGAAATGCCTGAGCTGTGAGCTCTTAGCAGTTTCACAATTTATGTGGCTGCCGCTTGCCAGGAAGGTTTTCTTGGTAACGGCAACTCTGATATAAGAAACCTAGACGACTGTTTTTGTTTAGTGCTGATGTGATGGAGTAAACAGTGTTGCCACGGTGGCAGATGCCAAAATAGCATGGTCATTTACACATGTTCAGTGTCAAACATTAACCTGCATTCACTCTGAACTGTGTAGACTTGTATGTAAATTAATTCTTTCAGGGAGAAGTTATAATATGTGACTTCATTATGGTGGATAAATTGAGTTATGGAGTATTATCTTCCAATGTTTTAGGATTATTTTTATGGCATTTTGCCGCTGAGAGGGATTATAAGCTGCAACAATTAAACTGGAGATAGTGCATGTGTTAAAACACACAGAAAGCTAGCATTAATATGTTTTGAAGTGGTGAGAAATCTCAAGACACTACAAAGCTGTTTGTTTGTAGTATTTGCGAAATATCTTAACATATTTCCTGAGAGCATATCCCGTAATTGCACAGTGCTGAAGTCATCATTTATACCCCTCACTGTATAAGTGGCCTTTTGTGCAAAATTTATGGGGTATTTCTCCTTATTAAATCCTCTTATTAATGAACCGTTTTATAGGCCTCAGGAACCAATTACAACGGAATGAAACCATCAGTCATTAGTTTAACTGTGTAAAGAGGTGCCCTTTAAATGGGTCTGCACAGAGCTGGCCCACAGCAATGATATGCAGCTGCACAGTTAAAATACAAGGTAGAACTGGCACTGTCTGTCTTCATTATCGGTGACACTGTAGTGCATGTAGTGTGCAATTGAGCAGTAACTTGTTGATCATACACCTCATCTCCAAATATTTTGAATTAATAAAGAAAAAAGGGCCACTACCTCACCTGTCATATCCTTATTTGATATCACTCAAACACTAACGATCCTGTCTGAAAATGTGTTTTTGTCTGATTCACCAAGGATGTACTTTATGTAGGATTTCACAGGGAATTGTTGCCCTCTACACACATTATCAATCATTGCCTGGCTTTAACATAATACTCGTGTTAAAGGGGATAACCCATTCAGCATTCCCAGTCTGTTGTGTATACATTATTATTATTATCTTCAGTCTGACTCTTAAGCTTTCTTCATTTTCATGAGAATTTCTGATGTATTTTTACTCATTTTTATAACCTAAAAATACAGCTTAACCACTGTTGTGCTCTTGCTTTCCCAGATAAAAATGGATTTGTGACACTGACCCAGGGGAGAGGTTTCTGTATTATGACCTTAGTAGCCACTGGCAACATTTCAAAGATGATTTATTTTGACTTCCTGTAAATAGCAGCACTGTCATAGCCGGGCTGTGTGTGAAGGTTAGAGGGCAGTTCTCACACTTGGGGCATCCCCACTTTACAGCTGGTCAGCATGCTTATCTGAGGGAGAACATTTGTTTTTGAGGTCACTGGCAGCTGAGGATACAGTTACCTAATGATGATAGTGAAGCATTTACCCAGGCTGATAATGGACACTGACCTGGTGTGTGATCGGTCTTATACTCTTGCTAAGATAATGTCCTCCACAGGTAGACGAAGGCGGTCGTGCCTTCCTAGCTGGAGTGCGGGAAGGTGATGAGGTGGTATCACTCAACGGAGAGCCATGTGCTGATCTCACCCTCCTACGGGCCTTTGCGCTCATCGACACATCGATCGACTGTCTGCAGCTGCTTGTCAAAAGGTAGGGCCGCATTAGATTAATGATAGTGAAGTGACGCTCTGTGAATTGCAGAAAACACAAGCACAACATGTTTGAAAACATCTGAGCATGCAGTTACACCACAGCCTCTGACAACTGAGCCGTGCAGTACAACAGCAATGCAAAATAATTACTGCACCACTGTATTAGCATTTAGATAGCATGTTGTTTTATGACCTGTGCCCTTTTGTATTGCTCAATGAACCACTGACTGTCTGTGTATATATAAATGCATTCATGTCTTGCATGTGAATTAACGAGGTAATGTGTGCCAGTCATGCTGACCTTCCAAAGTGGCTCGGCCAAGGTGTTACAGATTTGTGTGTCTGATTGACATGCAGCTGCTCAGCCATTACTCAGTGGGCGTTGCTGTTATCAGAGTGACATGTCCTCAAATATTGTTGCATGTGCTCAGTGTGCCCACATTTAAATCTCAGAGGGATATATGGTTAACGTCAGTATAGTTCTTGAATCTAGAAAAAAATTGTTTCTATGACTGCATGATGATAGAATCCTGTCTCTGAAGACTTGGAAAGCAGATGACCTCAGCTTGTAGCTATCAAAGTGTATTATGATATGTCAGTCTTTCCCATTTGGAGAAAATGAGTAGTCACTGAGGTCCAATCAACTTAAATTCAATAGCTGGAGTCAGAAGTAATGACATTCTGTTATGCTATTCCTCGCTGACCTTGGATGTGGAAATTAGGCAGAGCGATATTGAAATATGATTACTTCCCTCTTCAGTGACCTGACCCTTTCATTTAACTTGCTGCATGAAGATTAGATCTACTTGATTACTTTGAGGATGTCAGCAATGGGAGACGAGCCTTACTTCGTCAACAATCCATTGGCTCCGTTCCTCAGTGATGATGTATTTTTTTATTCAGATATTATAAATGTGTGGAAATCACACCTAGAAAATAGAAGATAATTGATGACAGCAAAAAGTATATGCTTTAAAGGCAGCATGGAGATTTTGTATTAATCTCAAAGTGATTTATTTTTAATGCACAAGACCCAAAACCCAGTTTACTCTTTGAAGAACCTACAATATAAGAGGAGACATTAGCTCTTATTGATGTTAAAAATTAACAATGGTCACTGAACTAAGAGAAGTTGCATCACTCACTCACTCACTCCTGTTCTCCCCTCTCCTCCAAAAGATACTGCACCACTCCCTCAGAAGAATCAGAGGAGACATACTGTGGTGAGAGGGATGCCTCTGGTGAGGCTTTAGAAAGCACCACCCTCCACATCTTCTCCCCAAAGCACAGGTCCCAAATCCCAAGGGAACTCTTCATATCTGAGTCCCAGGATGAGGCCTACTATGGGGAGTTGGACAATAAGTTACCCAAGGGACCCCAGCTGCTCTACACCGAGCTACACGTTCCCTCATCTGGTGATCAGAGAAGCCGAAAGCTTGTTTATAAGGAAAATGATGAAGGAACACAGCGGTGCTTCTCGCCTGGGGACATGGTGGAGCTCCAGGTGTCCCTGTCTGAGCAAACCTTGGACGATGTGGGCTGCAGCGCCCTCGGGAGTGCTCACGGGATAGAGGGGGAACTCTCAAACAGAGAGGTGGCCGAGACGATTTACACCGCCACCGCGTCACACCACGTACCGCGTCCTGTCAGAGAGCCGCTCGGCCAGCATGGAGTGGTGCTCAGCTCCCCTTCAATGATGAGGCAGGTGGAGGTCATTCTGCAGCAGCCGGCAGCATCAGGAGCAGGGAGGGGCATCCTGAGTGTGGGTGGCTCCAGGGTCAGTGGAAGTGTTGGATCCCAAAGTGAAGGAGAAGAAGGAGGAGGGCACAGTGAGGGAGTTCCTGGGTCTTTCACGGTCTCATTTGGAATTCCATCAGAAGAGGTGACACCAGCTGAGGAGCAGGACTCTGACTCTGAGGGGGATCAAGACAAACCCAACAAGCATAGGGCAAGACATGCCAGTAAGTAACTATGTACCATTTCCATTTGTACCAGGTAGTGTTATCCTGGTGTGCATTCTTTCTTTATGTGTGTGAGTAATAAAGATCTATTCTTTGAGTTGAGATCTGCATGCTAATAGGTCAGCACCAAATTACATTTGTCTACAACATGTGTGCATTCCAAAGCCTGATGTCAAGTGTGTGGGCTCCTTAAAATAGTGCCTGTCTCTCACTGCCGTTGGAGGAGGGTGTCATTCCTTCAAATGGAAGCATGTACTTCCAGGTCTAACCTGAACTACAACAGAATCAAAGGATAGTGCGGAGGCACAGCATAGATAGGGTGGTGATAAACTAAATACAAAGAATCAAAAGAAAAAAATGTCTTGATCACATGTGAGAAGCTACTAGACTTCACAAAACGTCTTAAATTATCCATTCAAAGAGGCTTGATAATGAATAAGGATACTTTGGCACCCCTCTGAGCTGTGTAGAAGACATAAATATAACACCAGCACGCTGATGATGCCTGCAGAAGTGGCCCTTTGACAGACACCAGCATGTGCTCCCATAGCTGGTTACCTGATCCTTTCAAACTGGGTGCTTTAACTGAGCTAAAAAAGTGAGTCCGTCGCTCACTCCCGCTGTCTCCTCCACCTTCAGGTTAGTCTTGCAGGAATATGAAAAAGGAAGCCTTTGTATTATTTTATTACAGCTTTGTATTGTTGGATGGTTTGAGAGTGGCTTTGTTGTTTGATGTCTGTCATCAGAGTGGCCTTAGTGTCAGATAATGTGTTTTGAGAAGAACAGAAGGTTTTCAGTAGAGAGCTTGTGAACCTACAGATAAGGACTGGTAAAGAAGCTCTGGTCTGGGTGAATTTATTGCATGCAGGCTATCTTTAATCTTTCTTAGATCCTATTCCTGGCTACTTTATGGAGAAGAACTACTGATTTAGTGTAGTTCATTGTCTGTGAACAAATGAGGATATTAGACGTGGGTCAGAGGATTTCATGATTGCTTTATGGGTTGATGTTTTATGTCCAACTGAATGAGCAAATGAGAAAAAGCACACAGCTATAGGTGGATAAAGATTATATGCGGTCTAAGAATGTGAAGCGAATAGCTTAGTTCAGATCAGTTCAACCACAGTGCATATCAGTTATTAGTCTTGTTATGTGCCTCTGCTTTTTTATGTGAACATTGCATGTATTTTTTAGAGCTAACTTTTTACAGAAGGCTGATATCAATGTGACGTTACATGATGAAATCAATAGCTTTGCATCTTGCTTGACTTTGTTTCGAAACTTAACGTTATCATCTGTCACCATGTTACTTGTGCAAGATCTATTTTTACTCTTCAGATGAGAGCTAAACCAAAATGGGTTCTTATGAGGAAAAGAAACTTTATTTTCTGATAGGCATTAAGGATTATGAAAATATGAGGAAAATAGCTATTTACATTCTTACTTTAAAGTAATTTAGTCAATTACAGTTACATTATCCTTGTAGATACACTATGTAAGGACAGCCTTGAAGTTGTCCTTTTGATCAAAGAGCTGAAAAGCAAAATTAATGTTTCATATCGAGACATAGAAAAGCAAGCTGTTTCAAGCGAGTTCAATTTGTGTTGATCTGAACTCCACTGTATTTTATTAATACCCATATTGCCAGGTAAAGCATTTATTTTGATTGCCCTATCTATAACCCTTTTTATTCTAAACACTAAACTCTCTTCTCTATACAGGGCTCAGGCGCAGTGAGAGTCTGTCCGAGAAGCAGGTGAAGGAAGCCAAGTCCAAATGTAAACGTATTGCCCTCCTTCTTACGGCTGCTCCGCCCAACCCCAACAACAAGGGGGTGTTGATGTTCAAGAAACATCGGCAAAGGGCCAAGAAATACACACTTGTGAGCTACGGCACAGGAGAAGACGAACCAGAGTTCAGAGACGAAGACGAGGAAAACGAAGACGACAAAGAAGAAACCCACACTGTTGAATTTACCCTTGTGGCTCCAGACGGTTCTGAAATAGACAAGCATTTCCTCACTAATGCCCATAGTAGAAAAGGTGTGCTAACTATCAACTTGGACAGGGGTCTCCTTGAGATTGAGAGGAACCTTAACAACCAAGAAGAGATGGAATGTTTGCCTGAAACCAAGGGCAAAGGTGCCGTAATGTTTGCCCAACGGCGTCAGAGGATGGATGAGATTGCTGCTGAACATGAGGAGCTAAGGCGTCAGGGGATTCCTGTAGAGGCAGTGCAGACTGCTGAAAAGAAGATGGAAGAGCACTCGTACATGCAGTCCACAACAGAAAGCCATGCTTACATGGATGTAAATATGCACCAACAAAGCCAACAACAACAACAGTACCAGCAATATCAGGAACAGCAGTACTATGAGCAACAGCAACAATATCAACAACAATATCAGCAACAACAGTATGAACAACAGCATTATCAACAACAGCAAGCGTATCAGCAGCAGCAGCAGCAGCAGCAGCAGCAGCAAGAATATCATCAAGCGCAACAGCAAATGCAGCACTATGCTACAAACATCAATGGCACAGTCCAACATCAAACAAGTGAGATGCAGAGTTCTTTCAGCAATCGTACTGCAAAGCCTTTCTCAGCAGACAACATGGTGGCTTATTCTCCCGCAATGAGTGGGACCAATCAAGATTCTGCAGGGCAAGGAGAGCAGATAGCTTCCCGTGATGAGCGCATTTCCACCCCCGCAAGTCGGACTGGCCTTTTGACAGATGCAAAGAGGAGGAATGCTGGCAAGCCTATGTTCACGTTTAAGGAAGCACCAAAAGTGTCTCCTAACCCAGCACTGCTAAATCTCCTCAACAGAAGTGACAAGAAGGGATTTGAGTCAGGACCTGAGGAAGACTACCTTAGTCTTGGGGCTGAGGCTTGTAATTTCCTGCAGTCTCAAGGAGTTAAACACAAGACTCCTCCACCAGTGGCTCCAAAACCTGTGATCAACCCCATCTCTCCTCCTTGGTCCCCACAGATAGAAATGACCAACCAGGACATGCCTCAACAAGCTGAAAATAGTGTGTCCACACCTGCTGTAGCCCCCACCACAGAGGCTACTCCTGCTCCAGAACTAGAGCCAACCCCTGCACCTGCCCCTGAGCCCTCTCCCCCTCCTACCCCCCAGGAGGCTCTTGCCAGCACCACCACAGAGGAACAGCGCACATGGACTCTTCCGGAGCCTGAACCTCAACAGCAGCCTCTGCAAATGACAGCGCAGGAGGAAAATGGTCACATGAATTCGACCCTGCAGCCTGAGCCTGAGCCTGCTCCTGTGACTAGCTGGGCTCCAGCACAAACACAAGTTCAGCAACAACCATCTACCAATTGGCACCCAGCTCAAGTGCAGCCCCAGGAACCACCTCCAAGTCAGTCACCACCACAGCCACCTTGGGTGACACGTCAACCTGCTCAGACCCAAGCACAGCCTCAACCTCCCACCAGTACTTGGGCCCCTCAAATTCAGCCATCCTGGGCCCAGCCTCAAGAGCAACAACAGGTTCAGCCACCCTGGACACACTCTCATGAGCAACCAAATCTGCAGCAAATGCAACCAACTTGGGGTCAACCTCAAGAACCAATGGAGCAGCAGCCCCAAGCCCCATGGGCACAGCCATCACAAACAGACTCTCAGCATCAACCACCATGGGTGAAACAACCCCAGCAGAAGCCCCAAGCACAACCTCCATGGGCTCAGCAGGTTCAGCCAGAATCCCAGCCACAGCCAACATGGGCTCAGCAACCACCGCATCAGGCCCCACAACAAGCATGGCCACAGGCACAAGCACCAGGTCAGCCTCAACCCCCTTGGGTCTCAGCTCAGGCTCAACAGCAACCTTCAATTAATGCATGGCCTCCATCACAAACTCAAGCCCAAGTTCAGCCACCTTGGATCCAAGCAGCTCCAGCTCAACCTCCAGCGCAGCCTCCAGCCGTTTTGAATCCATGGCAGCCAGTACCTGCCCAGACTCAGTCCCCACCATCATGGTCCCAGCACCCTTCAGAACATGGTCAGCACCCCATGAATTCTTGGGCCCAAGAGCAGAATCAGGCCCAACATCAACCACCTTGGGCTCAACCAGCTCCACCCCAGCCCACACCACAACCAAACTGGCAACAGTCCACTCCAAAGACTCCACCGCAACCACCAATGAATACATGGCCTCCACCTCAGGCACAACTGCAGACACCTGTGAATGCCTGGGCACCACAGTCACAACAAACACCCATTTCCACATCAATGGTGAACACTCGTCCTTCTCCAAAACCTTGGCAACCACCACAGCAGACCCCCCAAAACCGGACCCCTCCACCTCCACCACAGCGAATGCACTCTTTTACCATTCGTCAACGAGTTTCATCACCCATCAACCCAATGGCAACTGTCTTAAATCCAGCATCCCAAGGTTCATCTTTCGAGATGCCAGCCGTCCGAGGGAAAGGAGCTGATATGTTCGCCAAGAGGCAGTCTCGTATGGAGAAATTTGTTGTGGACTCTGAGACTGTGCAAGCAAACAAGGCAAGCCGGTCAACATCACCAACTGCTTCCTTACCAAATGAGTGGAAATATACCCCAAACGTACGTGCCCCTCCTTCACGGGCATATAATCCTATTCAGTCCCCTTCTTATCCCCCAGCAGCATCAAAGCAGCCCCCTCCAAGTACCCCGTCAACAAAAGCCAAGAAAAAAGCCACAGACAAACAGTCTGCCCCTAAACCCCTCAATGTTGTAGATGTTATGAAGCATCAACCCTATCAACTTAATTCCTCACTCTTTACCTATGGCCCAGCAGTAGAGGCTGCCAAGCCACCTGAACCTAAGCCCGACTGTGCACCCCCTAACCCACCTGTTGAAAACCAGCCAATTCAATATGAGCAAATGGCCCCCGTCCAGCCAGGTGGACCATATAATGCCCCATATCCCCAGCAACCATATGGGATGCCCATGCAGCCTATGATGCATGATGGCCACTACCAGCAGAACCCACTTAATGTTTATCCTCCCTCCAATCCTTACCAGCAACCCCCTGTTGGTCCGTACCAGCAAGCATATAACCAACAGTATCAGCAACCTGCCCCACCTGCTTATCATCCCCAAGCTCCCCAGTCTCCAAATGCTCCCTACCAGCAGGCTCCACAGGCCCCTTACCAACCAGCCAGTAGCCCTCCCTACTTGGCAGCTCCCTCAGTACCTTACCAGCCACAGCCTCCCAGTAGCTATGTTGCTCCCAGTTTTCCTTTAGCTGCAAGGCCTGAGTCTGCATCAGGTGGCAATGCTGCAACTGCTCCCAAACCTAAGTTTACAGCTAAAAAGAGCTCAGCCCAGGTGTGGAAGCCTACAGCAGTTGATAAAGAGTGATTCTGGTTGAATCATGACATGGTGTCATGATGTCTGCCTGAGTCAAAGGGTTGGTGCTCTCGCAGTCCACCGCCAAGTGGACTAGTTTGAGCACATAAAACCTGCTTCTGCAGTGACTATCTTCACATCCACCTGCTCTTGTCATTGTCATAGGACAGATTGATGGTTTTCACACTTTTGAGAGCTAATATGAATGGCATAACAAACAAATTGAAAGCATAAGAATAAGAGTGAGATGTAAGTATATCATATCAGACACAGAGGAGCCAGAGTGAACTTAAAATGTTAATAAAGCAGGCACATTTTAACATTGATGTGTATGGATACCTAGAAATCACTATAAATTATTTGAATTTAATGTTAAAGAATCTAAAGTTGTGGTGATATAAGAATGTAGGGGAGCATGATGCTCAGTAAGAACTGAAAGAAAGGAGTGAGAGTGGTAGCAGATAGTGAGAACAGGAATTTGATTTTTGAAAAGAAGAAAATGCTAAATGTGTCAAATCTTATTTGCTAAACAAACAGATAAACAGACAGAAAACTAAAATATAAAAAAAGTCGAATTTAAAAATCCATGAAATGAGTCAAGTAAATATAGAAATTTAGAGTGAGGAAGAAGGGTCAGGTCTGTGGGGTGTAATGACACTAAGCAGAAGGCTAAATTTGCAATGTCAGTGATGTCAGAGTGCAGAGATTATGTAACAACATTGGAGTTTCAAGTAAAGGTCGGAGAATAGAATAGTACTCCTTACTAAAAGTGACTGCTAGCACCGACTTTCTTAAACTTCAAATGTTACATTTGTAAACAACTCATTCTTCAGTGGCTCTCCCTCGTGTCTCTTCCATAGCACCTACTTTAGTGGGTTAGTTTTATTTTAAGCTTTTTACCAGCTGTTGCATCATGTTAGCTACTATATTTAAACTGCCTCATGAGAGGGAGCGCTGAGGTCCAGAGATAGTAGGCTTAAATTTGAACTTAAGCCAGTGAAAGCTACTATTTCTCAAATCCTAATTGTATTTTTCCAGATAACACAAAGAAATATATATGAATAATATATCCATACATCTTCCCCTGCTTTTGTATCATATAAATAGATGATAAATGACAAATAAAAGAAGAATTATTGAAAGGATAACCAGCCCAGTAATGTTCACAAATATATTTTTGGTACAGGGCTGCTTTTGTTCTTTATATTCTTTTCTTTTTCTTTCCTTTGTGTGTTTCTCTTCGTAGTGCACTTTCTGAATGATTCACTGCAGTGCCATTAAAATGTCTTTTATCCTTGGTTGGCTTTCCTTTCTTTTGTCCTTTGAGCATGATTTTCTGGGTGTCTTCTATTTCTAGCCACTTTTCTTTTCGTCTTGCTGAATTTCGCCACTCATCCACCTGTATTATAAATACTGAGCTATTCTATATATGCCTTGACAAAAAGAAACAAAAAAAACAGCCATGAATAAATCCACTCAAGTACCATCACATTAGAGTAACACTTATACCTACTATCTTTACGCAAAGCCAGTGGTAGGAAACCAGTTTTCAACAATAAAACTAAACACAGTTTGTGCTCCATAAAGAGGTTGTTAACATCAGCCAGAAACACCTCATTATCCAAATCACCTTCTTTTATAGCAGCTGAGGTGAATGCTAGAAAAGCACATTCCTGCAGAGTGACGAACTGATGATGCATTCATGAGGGATATTATTAGACTGGTGACTTCAGTGAATACAGACGACCTCATTGCACAATTCTGGAGGTCAACCGAGTGGGCCCCCTGCTGAAAATATAAATCCATGTTGTGTCATGCAGTTTTAGATAGGGCAGTAATTTGTTAAGTGGAAGTGTGGATATCTAATGGTGTCTTGAGTTGGCAGGTTTCGGTGGCTATATCTGGAGGAATTTGATTCCTACTCAAATGGCTGGAGTTTACCTCCAGCTTTCCTGGTCTTTATCTGAACTACACTTTTTTTTTAGTGTTTAATGTTATTATTATTATTGCTATTGTTATTATTAATACCAGGGTTTACCTGAGAGATGATAATCACTAAAATAAAAAGACCAAAAAACAAAAAAAAGAGACAATTTAATTTACAACCAATGAATCAACAAAAAAATCACAATTGAATGGAATACTGGTATAAGCTGGGTAAAGCATTTTGATAAAAGACGTGGTTCTTAAACTAGATATGCAATGAAATAGAAATGAAACAGAGTAAACAACCAAAAAATACTCTAGGTTCAGAGTCCACACAATAATGGTTTAGTTACTGTGTCAAACAAGCGCTGATACTACTAAACTTTGGGATCTATTATTGGATATTATCTATGTTTTATTCAGAAAAGGGCAAGCAGATTTTCCACATTTGTTCTTCTCTCAAATGTACTTTTTTTATAGAAAGAAAACCTTACTTTATGACATTACCATAAATTAACATAAACGGTCTATTTTGACCATCTGTCTCAAAACAAAAGCATCTGTATGCACACCATCATAGACACCAACCTGCTCAGCTCCATTTCTGAGATATATATTAAAATGCCAGACATAGTGTAAGGCAAATACATGGTTATTTCCTCAATCCCCATCAGTAGAATAAAAATATACCCGTAGATCATGTACCGATCTACTTTTCCTCCTTGTGTCTGCTCTAATTCAGGATAACACAGCCACGGGTGGTGTAGGCCAACCAGATACCTGAGTCAGCAGGGAGTTTATTCCCCCTTGACTCATTCAGCTACATTTCTCTTTTTTATGACCGCACTCTCTACTCTGTTCTTTCCTTTAGCCATCTCTTGCTGTCTGCTGGTCTTACACACCTTTCACCAGATGATGGCAGCACTGCCTTTTCTGCATGTCTGCCGTAGCCAACAGAATGTGTTACAGATGTGCTCTATCAACCAGCATACAGTAAGCCTCGGCTGTAGAGGCATCCTAATACAGATTTTAGCATTGAGCAAGTTTCACCATCTCAGTGTCATGCTTTTCAAAGTGTTGCTGCACAGTAAAGCAGATCCAATGAAAACAAGATGAATGAGGCTTATTCTGGGAAGCCAATGCACTCGCGTAAGCCAGTTGTTCTGAGAAACAAGAGAGCAGTCGACTCTGTTTGGACAAATGTTAAAGCACTGGGCTGAGGAGGCTTACTGTGGAATGGACGATTGAGTCCACAATAAGTTTAGAATAATACGTTTATGAGTGCTCTTAACAGTTTATTTATTTTGCTGGCTATTTCAGATCTTAACATGGTTTTACATATTTATACATAGGAATGAAACAGAGAACAAAATTAAACATATTAGAGTGTTACAACACTTACAAGAAATGTGTTGACAAAGAGCTTCTCTACTTTCCATCATTTTCAAAGTTGATTTAATTTGGCAGACAGGCCAGTCAGCCAAACAAAAATGAACCCTTACTAAAATAAACATGTCTGGATCTTTCTTTACAGGCACTTGGCAGGAGCTACTCGCTTTCCCCACCAGCCAGAGTACCATCAACGGCCCAGAAGTCTGTTTCGGCTTCTTCTTCCCCCAAGCCTCTGGCTAAGGCCTCCACAACTACCCCAGTAAGACAGACACCCTGGCTAGAGAAAGGCCGCAAACCCCTTCAGCCCTGGGAGGCCGCCTCTCGGCATCCCCTGGGCCTGGTGGATGAAGCCTTTGCTTTCCAGAACCTCCAGCAAAGCCTCGCCACAAATGTCCGCTTGGCAGCCCAGCGCAAAATGCTGCCCGAGCCGCCAGCAGAGTGGAAGGCCAGGGTGTCTTACGAAGCCCCACAGAAAACAGGCAGCCAGACTTGGAGCCAGAGCCAAAGCCGGAGTCAGAGTCGAGCTCCTCTGCCGACATTCGGGTCCCTGTCAAGGAGCAGTGTCTCGACCCCTGCCGGTCGTGCTGGTTACAGCTCCCTGCCCAGACAGTGGCAGCCTCAGAGGTCAGTTACACAGGCAAACCGGGGGCCCTCGGTGTCCCCCTCTGAGTTTAAGAGGCCCTCGGAAAAACAAACTTACAAGTCTGTGTACACCAGCAACACTTGGAGTTGGAGGCAGTAGGACACAACTCGACCTGTCTGACCTTCGATGAGTAAGATCGCAAGTTTCACTGATTCAGTAACACATTCAAGTGCAGTTTCTTTTTAACTCATCACTATCTAAAAGAATAACATTTTTACATTTCTGCTTTTTTTGCTGTTGAATATTTAGTATGAAAAGTTTTAGATGGAATTTTTGCATGCCGTAATCAAATGTGAAAAGAGACGATTACTCTTACAATATATGGAGACTTAAAAGTGATTTCTGTAACATTAAACTGACAGCTTTGTAGTTTGGTAAATACACTGAAGTGGCTTGTAGATGAGGCAGTGAGTATGTTGTTTAGATTGGATATAATGAGTGCAAATGGACATGTCGAGTATAAAATACGTGGAAAGATTTGAGTGATTGTAAAGTAACAGTACATCTGGAGAAAACTAACTTGACTGTTCAGTTAGGATTTCAGAATATAGTAAACAGGTAATTATGGTGTCCTCAGAAAAGAGATATGTAAGGATGCTAAGAGGGAGGAAGACACAGTGACCCCACCATTCTTGAATTGTTTTGAGCATATGGATTTGCCATGCATCCTGGTGGATGTACATATTTAGCATGCAGTGATTGCACACTTTTTTTTGCTGGCTTTGTTTGATTTTCAATCCATGAAACTTGAGAATGATTACATTTGCAGTGTTTTCCAGGTCAGCAAATCATTTTAGTGTCCGAATCCAATTAGCGATGCATTAGAAGTCGGGCTTAAAACTTGGGGGAAAGGTTAGCGCTATAACTCAGCGCGTTGTGTGTGTGGACATGTGGTTGCGTAAGCTCCAGTAAGTGAGATTAATTCACTTATTTTCCAGGTGCATTTTAATTAGTGCATTAGCATTTGGCCATAAGACGATGAGATGAGATGAGAGAGGATGAGAAGCTGAAAATGGGGCATCTGTGCTACCGATAGAGGTTTTCAAAACTCTTTTCTTTGGGCACTTTTAAATTGGCACATGCCAGTTGTTGTTGGGAGTGACCTGATGAGTCTTTATTATGATTACAATAAAAGATTGTTTAGTTTATGATAGGTTTACTGGCACTGGGAGAATTGCTTACAGTATGTTATGGGTTTGTGTGTTTGGTTTGGATTTTTGCTGTAGACTCCAAAGATTAAACTTAGCTTGGTGTTTCCACAGAGTGTACATAATGTCCCAATGTCCCACCGAGCAGTCTCATAAACATAAACAGGATTTATCACTCAGCATTGTGTCGTGCCTCGACTGACTCACTCAGCATCCTGACATACTGTAGTGTATCTGTGATAATTACACTGTATTGCTTCCATTCAAACAACGCTTATTACGATCGTAATGCAACACCAGTAATCAATTTCTGTTCCAAACTGTTTCAGATATGGATTCACATAAAAGCATTTTACAAAATAAATACAACCAGATAGCACTATTTCACAAATTGCACTGTGTGTTTGTGCTCTTTGCTCTCTATTCCAAGCATGAAACACTTGGCTCCAGGCCATTTGTTGCTTGCTGTTCCATCCCATGAAGCTTTTTGTATGATGTGTTGTCTTGAATAGTCACTCGCTCCGTATCCAGCGGAGGGGGGGGGGTTGGGAGGGGTTGGTAGGGACTTGTTCCCATGGTGACCACCAGTTACATAATAACAGTGGGTACCTACTGTAGCTGAAGCATTAGAGAATGAGAGATAAGGACACAGAGTGGGGATGATAAACAGCAATTATTTTCCTACCAATTTAGATTTTGAAAATGCTGTGCAGGATTGAAATGCTATTAAAAAAGGTGGAGATAGTACAGTATGAGAAATCATAAAGCACAACACACACAGCTTTAATATATTTCATTTTGAGTATAGGGCTCCCGGTATGGTAGGCAATGCAGTATGCTAATGAACTTGCTGCTTTTAACATCCAACCTTGTGCTTTCCAGCCCCTCTGGGTGCTGCAAACTCAACCTGCCTTCCTTTATTTGTCTCTTTTATCAAGTTAAGAATTATATAGGAGCTAAATTAAATTTAGCAAGGTCAATTAAAACACAATGACTGGATTATAAAGCGAGAGTGCACCCTTTTAGGCCTCGGTCTGTCCTATATCACATGATGGCATTTAAAACAAATAGTATCTGATTGGCCTGGAGGCCCTGAGGGGGCCATGTTCCCACACTATATGTCACTGAATATATTTATTGTTAGCTGTGCACTGCAGTTCTGGAGCGCTGGTAAAGACAAATCCAGCTGAAACAACTTTATTTTTGATGTTAAAGCATCGTCAGTGGTTTCCAAGAGTGTTGTCAAGCCTTAGGGGGTTTTAAATTCATGTATATTTGCAAAGTTGCAACACTGCAGCAGATTATTGCTTTTTCTATGTGCTAAGTGAATTAGTGAAATAATAAAGTTTTATTAACCTCTTTTTTTGCCATAGATAACATACATTCTCGTGTTTCCATAGTCATTGTAGAAGAGATGAACCTTAGTGCGTCTGCTTGAGGTCATGTTAAACTGGAAGTTATGTTAGCACATTGTTTCCTAAGAGTTTCATCCATTTTTTCATTACTTTAATTGCCATTGCAATCATTATTCTACAGTGGCCAAGCTGTTAAAAAACTTTATATCCAAAACTCTTGCAAATTTGATAAACACAAGTACATTACTGCAAAAAACAAATGCAAAAGACGTACATCGAAAATGACTCAAAACTCAAAATTTCTGTCTATTGACATTTATCCATTGTGTTTAGCAACCTACTATAAATTAGCTTCAACAGGCTGTACCTATGTCTCCATCTATAGGTACAGCTCAGGCTTCATCTGTTTGATTTACGTTAGCTACCTGACGTAATGCTAATGTTATTGCATAACTAGCTTCGTAATAGCCTAACACTGGAGCACCTAAGTATTAAAATATAAAGGTACTCACCAACATAGGGTTGGGTTCCGAACCCCGGGGTGGGGGATGTTCTCCCTGTGTCAGTGAGGGTATTCTCTGGGTACTCCAGCTTCCTCCCACAGTACAAAGACATGCAGGTTAATTGGTGACTAAATTGTCCATAGGTGTGAATGTGAGTGTGAATGGTTGTCTGTCTCTATGTTTCAACCCTGTGATAGTCTGGTGTACCCACCCCTCGCCCAATGTCAGCTGGGGTAGGCTCCAGCACACCCACGACCCTTAACAGGATAAGCGGTTACGGAAAATGAATGAATGAATGATTGAACAACATGGCTCATTTGTGTCAATCATGCAGGCCTAGGAATCATAGTTAGCTAGCAAATAATGATTCATTAATTCTGAACGGGCAAATTTCATTGTCAGCATCCCTTGATGCTCACTTCCATTGTTGCTTTTGCATTTGTGCTACCAGTTAATGTGCTTGTGGCTTTCAAATATGCAAAAGCATTTTGGATATGCAGTTTGTTCGAGACACCTCTGCCACCGTATTTGTTCATTACAGTTAGCTGTCTGTTTAAAAAGATTTTACAACCTCTTAATGAACTGCAGAATTAGGCTACAAGTATTCCTGGTTTGAAATCAGTGGTATAGATCCTCGTGCTACTGTAACACTGGCAGGAAGATAGATAACTAGATGGAGGGCAAAGTTGCAGCTCTCTAAATTTAGTCACCCCTCCGCTCGTGGACTACATACCAATGACAGCAGTCAAGCTGACACCCACCCACTCATTCAGTCACTCAGTCAGTCAGCCGGGTCAGGCTGCAGCCCCCTGCACCCACCCTCCCCACGACAAACTCCACTGCTGGGGAGCGCGAGCACCCACACAGATCGTACTACTCAGCCTGACCCTCTCGCCTCTCACCTTTCTGACTTCCTGCTCTGAGGAGACAGGCACAATTTGAGACTCCGCCCTGAGGGTCCTTCAGGACAGGTAAGCCATTACTCAGGCGTCTCCACAGGTATGCTGTCTAGCTCTAACGTGACACTTGCATTTTGAAGTATGATTCTCTCTACCACCTACAGCTGCTCTCTCTTCATTTTCCTTACAACTTGCCTTATTTTACTGTCACTTTTATTTCAGAATTGTCTTAAATGATATTTAATAAGTATATTTTTAATTAGTTCATGTCCTTGCTTGGTGTTTTTACATGGAGAATATTCTGACTGAACATCAGCATATATGCATAAATCTCCAAAACATGTTTTTGCTTTATATTTACCGATAGGATTCTGAAGTTGACTTCACTGAAATTAAAAGTAAACTTTGCAAACTTGCCTTTTTATTTACAGAGCTAAAACCAGTTTGTTCCATTGATTTCCATATGATGAAGTGATTTGCATGGTGAATAGATTTCAGCCACAAAAAGCTCCTTTGCTCCATCAGAAAACTTTGTGAAGAGTATCCTGGATTGGAGTGAAGCATTTGTGTTGTGTTTACTGACACCGTGGTGTAAACTTTCCACTGTGCTATTTCATCCACTGTCTCACGTGTCTGCTGTGATAGCCGCATGTTCTCTATCTGTGTCCTTTCAGCCCACTTGGGTAATTTCAAACATATTGATTCCCAGACCCCTGACACAGCTGGTTGCCATGTCTGAAGAGCATGTGCTCGGCGTTTAACAGCCCAAGGTTATTTAAAGGGATGTGCTAACTTTGCCCTTTTCACTGCCCAGATAAATTCTGTCTGCTTCGGTGGGTGTTTGTGCGTGGTGTGGATGCTCAATGTTGGCCAATCGATGGCCAACATGCAGCCATGTTGTCTCAGCTTCTGTGTCTCGTTGTACGTTTGAACAGATTGTACTGATGTGCTTTGTCTCCTGTGACTTTTCGCCTCACCCCCGACTCCCCAGGGGCAGACATGTCACAGTTCTCCACCATGACAACCAGGGAGAGGAAAATGCAGGCTGCAGCAATCTGCAGGGAGGTTCTAGGCCAAGAAGGTAGCCGTATCATTTCCTCTTCACCTACTTGTTTTCTCATCCCTCTGACCTCTCAGTCTTTCTCTCTTTCTCATGTTGCATCCTTTCTTTGCTTCTGTTTTCCCCTCACCTTCTCTTCTTCTCCTCACTTCCTGCTCCTCCCAACCCCCTACCTTGTTTTTTATCACACATATTAACATAGAAACGGATTTGACACCATTGTACAGTGCACATTTAATTCTCAGACATATTAACTTTACTGTAAACACCCTGCCAGACTCAGACATGCACCGGACACTGCCACATTCATTTTATACAAGGCATGAGCCCACCATTTGCCAGAGCAGCAGTTGCCAACCCTCCCTTCCGCGACCCTGACTATAAATAAGCAAATGAATACTTTTATGGGCCAAAGTAACGAATCCCTTTGTCGTTGTCCTTTAAACACGCTATTTCAGGGCAAGGACAACTGTGTGGCTGGGTCTGAAGGCTACTGACAGCTGAAAGATATTCTGGCAAATTATGCCCCTCATACTTGGATATAGGCCTGTGACATCTCCATGATCAGCATGCAGTAGCTAGCACGTGGCGCTAACCACAAAACAAGCACTAGACATGAGTGGATTACGAGGGAAGATAATTGCTCATTCATCATATTGGCAGGACTACCAAGTCAGCAGTCCACGTAGAGGGATTTTTTTTGCAGCAGGGTTTTATTTCTGTGTGAATATAATTTGTGTTCAATGAGGTTTGATAGGTGGGAGCATAGGAGAAAGGGAAATAAATTTGTCTTGTCAGAGATCAGATCAATTTACAAGTATATAATGTAAAGACAAGCTCTTTAGTCTTTCGTTTGTCTCGTTGTGTTGTATAGATGCAGAAATGGATCTGGGGAAGAAAGTGAATGCTCCTAAGGACATCATGCTGGAGGAGCTGTCTCTTGCCTCAAACCGGGGTTCCCGTCTCTTCAAAATGCGCCAGAGACGCTCAGAAAAATACACCTTTGAGAGCATTCAGAATAAAAACAATGAGCAGCTCAATGTAAGCACACACACATGCACGGGGGAAATATAACTCATCAAGTAGTAGGAGTAGTAAGACATTTGGGGTAAGACACAGAACTCCTGTCTTGCCAAGAGTTAGATAAGAAGATCAGGATGTGTGTTAACTATGGAACTAGAGCTTGGTTAGCGTAGCTTAGCACTAGATTGGAAGCAGAGGGAAATGGCTAGTATGGCTCTTTTAATTCTCAGCAAGAAACTCAATAGTTGTATTTCCCTAAATGGCCATTTTGTCAATGCATTTTCACTCCCAAGTTGTCTCATATCAAGGCTTTGTCACACCCCTTGGCGCCTGATAGCAACACCCAATAGCATATCTACATGTTTGACCCACTGCTGAAACACATTGTAACATGTTTAATGTTGTGAAATGGTTGCGGTTAGGTTTAGGCAACAATACAAGGTGGTTTGTTGGTTAGTTTTAAAAAAGAGATCATGTTTTGGGTAAAAATAAGTGTTGCTTTATGTAACATAATATGACGTAAATAAGTCACATGAGTGACCTCAGTGTGCCATGAGTGTATGTGAATTGGTTAAAGGGCTGTACACATGCCGTGTCTTTAACCACCTAGAAAACGTGAGGTCGGGCGCTGTGTACGACTCTTGGTGTCTATGCTGTGCCATCTTTCAAGGGCATGGAGACAGGTTTCGTCTGAGGTTGTTAAGCAACCATAACAAGCCTTAATATATTGTCCGTGAGACAGATGTAAAGCTCTGGGTAGCCTTGCACGAAAGTTATCAACTTCTTCTTCATATTTACCACAGACTATTATTTATGGAAGAAAGGAAAGAACCTGTAGGCTGTGATTGGTTGTTCCCCGTCACGTGATATACAGTGCATGCTGCTGCATTCCAAAAGTCAGGGCGCAGCTGTTGCACCCTGAAAAAGAGACGCTCAGGAACACGTCACGACAAGGTTGCTCTGGCGTTTGAGTTCGCCTGCTGTGTGTCTTCATTAAAAACAATGGATTTTAGGGCGCATAAAGACAGCTTGTGTACAGCCCCTAACTCTATATTTAAACAACGCTGACTTTTGGTTCCATATGGGACACAAACTGTGATCTCTAAGATGGCACTCTGGTTTTGTTTGACCCATCCAAATCCCCTCCCACACACCCTACGCAGACTTTCTCACTTGTTACACTTTAGTGTCTCTTTTAGTGTCAAATATTGCTGCAGGTGGGTTCCCATTGGGGTTAGCTGTTAGCCTGGTGCATCATTGTCACCCAAAAATAAGAATCCCTGTGCTTTTGTTACCTTAGAATGAGCTGTTTATATCTATGGTACATACAGAGCAGGTCTTCTCCATGTAGTCTGCCATGTTGTTCTACAGTAGCCCAGAATGGACAAGCCAAACACTTGCTCTAGATAGGGCCATTTTTGTTTTTGCCTCAGCTGCAATAGTTCTCCTACACATTTGGCACACAGGAGAAGTTTCAGTTCTGGAGCCTGACCTATAGATACCACTAAATCCTACATACTAGACCTTTAATGGGTGCTTTTGGTATCAATATCTCACTGAGGGGCATGACAAAGCAGTGGTATTTTTTCTTAAATACACATACATTTACAATAGATTGATATGGATTACTAAAACACACTTTGATGAAGCGGTTGCTGTAACACTGTCACACTGCCAGAGCGTGTTTTCTATAAGCACAGTTGTCCATTTTCCCCACATCTTTTCTCTCCATCGCTTTAGAAAACATTCGCACAATACCTTACATCCTGACAAAGTGTATGTGGGAAAGATTAGGCACTTGAAGTGTTTATTTGACTCGTGCTACAGACATAGTGTGGGACAGAATAGTTGTTATGAAAGTCTTCCAGCTGGTCATAAGTAGCTTTATTAATGTCCTTTTTGTGTATGGATGGGCAGTGTGCCAAGTCAGCTTTTTTTTTTCCTCCCAGTCATACTTATCTTAGCCTGACCTGGTCACACATAAAGCAATTAATGTACCAAAGCACTCAGTAAAATTGAATCAAGATAAACTAAGTTTCTCTTTGTTATATCTAATTAATTAGCAACACTAGTTGGATCCTCTTTCATTTAGTTGTGCAGTGGCCTTGTGTACTTTGAATTGCCCTCATGAAGTCCAAAGATAAAATAATTATTATGCTCAAGGGAAGTTTTTCGCCTCATCTTTGAAGTGAGAAGAGCTCACATATCTCTTGGTTTGTTTATTGCTCGGGGCAACGGAGGGATTTTGTTTCAAGTTGTCAACATTTCCTGAGGAAGTCCTGGAGTAAATCATCATAAATATCTTTCAGAGGGATGAAAGCTGGATGCTTGGGCTGTGGTACATTTTGTCCCAGCCCACAAAACAATGTTTCTTGAGGAAAAGTGGACACGCAGGCAGTTTCTCTGCCTCGTGTTGTTGTTGGAAAACATGTAGAATCGCGGTTTGAGTCCACATGAAAAAGAGGAGCAATAAAGAAGTGGGGAGTTTGGTTTTGATAAGAGTCAGTAAACCTACTGTGCCACTGGTTTACTGTGCATGCAAATTACTTTTTAAAATTTTAATTCAATGAATCTAAATATGCAAAGTTAAAGCTGTTTATTTTTGCCATGTGCAGTGAGATAGGAAATTGTTGATAAAACAATCTCACCATAGGCTTCGCTTAATAGCTGTTCTGGAACTTTCTACCATATTACATGTTCTTCCACAAGATAAATGTTTAAATTGCTCATAAAAATGGCAACTTAGATACTTACACTTCTACAGACTTTAATTTCTGTTTAACTTTTCTCTTAAGCTCAACTCATCTCTTGGATCCTTCTTTTAGAACACAAATGTTTCTCAAACTGAGAATGGGGACGCCACGGACGGCCACAGCGGAGAGAACAACGTGGATGTCGACCAAACGCCTACTGTGGTGTCTGACGCACCAGACACAAGCACAGTGCCAAATCCAGACAGCATTGCCCCAGGTAAGGTAATAAATGTCCCCGAAATACAGTATGATATGGTATGTCACAATACGGTCCAATGCGATACGCTACGCTACGCTACGATACGATACGATACGATTTAGTATGATACTATGGATAGGTTATCTTAACATACAATACAATACGATACCTTACAGTACGCTATGGTACGATACGATACGATACAATATAATATGATACATTATGTTGGGATACAATATGATATATGATACAACTGTAACTGCCTTACTTTAATTACATGGCTGATAAAGCCCAGTCCTGTATTTTATTTTATCTATGATTGTCACTGTCATTTCTTCCAAGGTTTTGGCTTCATTAACATGTTTGGTATAGTTTCATTATACTAAACTTCCTCTTCGGTTGTGCATTTGTTTGTTTTTAACTTCACTGAAAGTACAGTACAGCTCATGAGAGATGGTTGTGCTCCTGGTGAATAGACTGTGTGGATGTGCTCTCCACAAAGCACTGGATGTGCCGTGTTGTGATAAGGATTCAACTGTTTCTCATTGTTTGTAGTCACGCAGCCTTTGATCGCGTAGGGAAACATTTTCTTTCTTGCCTGGAATCTGCTGGCCGCAGGCAGAATATGATTACACGTTTTCATTCTCCCTCTCTCCGCCTGTCTCCTTTCTTTCTCCATCTCCCTATCTTCATCCCACTCCTTTGTTTCACATCCACTCCTCCACATTCCCATACTTCTCTCCCTCACCTCTTTTTTTTTTTTAACCCCTCCTCATTACAATCAGCTTTGACGATCTTCAAAAATTGTTGAGTTTTACCCATGGGAGGTGTTTCCTGTTTGCCTCTCGTGCCACTGATAGCATCAGGTATGCGCTCACATCCTCCCTCATGTCTTAGTTCTGCCCAGTCGACACAAAACCAATACTGATTTAGGGATGGAGGATGTCTGTGCAGGAGTGGGGTGTTATTTCTGGAGCTTAGGACCAGACACCAACCTTCAGTGTCTCAATGAAGTCACTCCAGCTGTAGCAGAAATCAGGCCAGAGTGCATTAGGTATCAAATGCTAAGAACTCTTAAAATAGCACACTCATCCACCCAGGGGTGCCTGTTCCATGCCCCTGTACTGCAAAATCTCTTAACCAGGCTACAGTGATACATGTGGTGAACACTTTAGATTTTGATAGAGTTTAAATGAGACAATAACTGGTGGATAATATACTGAAGATGTAGAAAGTCATAACATCAATCTATGGGGTGCATAGCTGTTAAAGCTTTCTAAAAATGTTTGTCTTTAATTACAGGACCATTTTTTAAAAAATGCTACCACATTTGAATGTTTTTGGAAAAGTAGAAAAAACATTTAAGGACAAAAGCCAGCCTGCTGTCTCTCTGTCTGGCCTTTCAGGACTTTCCCCAATCGCTCTTTCATCTCCACATAGAGCACATAGAGCTATGTGTATGACGCTCCTTTCACACACAAAAAAATAGCAACTCAGCCAAATGTCCAACAACAAGAGCAATATTCTTTGGCCTCAGAAAATCTTTTACACAATGTTTTATCATAGGTCGCCCCCCTCCGAAATCTGTAAGCCTCCCCACAGGTCTGTTTGGTCTCTCCTGCTTCCTCCTCGGGGCAAAACATAAACTCAGGAAGGGGGATTGTTCATTGTGAGAGGTTAGGACGTGAGATGACGCCCCGTGTTATGTAATGCCTGAGCTTGCAAGCCCCCCTGAGTGAAGCGCTGGGTTTGAAGGATAGTGCTTTGGATAGGCCTCTCCCATCAACACACACAGACTACGCGGGGAGGCAAACATGCACATACATACACACACACACACATGGAATTACAGGGAGGCTGCCCCTCGATTTGTTTTGCTGTGAACTTTAACAAGAAATAAAGGGACGAACAAAGACTAGTGGAAGGTATTGCAGTGTTGCGCAGTCAGACTTGTATTAATGAGTTACATATATGTTTTATGTCACTTATTTAAACAGTGGTTCAGGTTAAATATATTATTCTTATGGATTTTTCCTGTTTTTTCTTTTGTAATTGGAACATTTAATTCTTTTTCCTGACTCATGTTGTCTCTTCTACCTTTGCAATCAATTTTGCAGAAAAGGGTTGCTTAAAATTACTTTAAAGCATAAAATATCATCAGCAGACTGCACTCACTTCTACTCAAGTTTACTCATCATCAGCTAACTGGTCTGTGGTGGTTTTATACAAAAGCAAATCAAATTTGACCCGTTTCACTTCACTGTTTGTGAGGAAATACCCAAATACCCATGCTTGCTGAATACTTTTTAAAAATTAGGATTAAAGAAATAATGCCTGTTCTTTATTTTCCATCACTGTCTATGTTGTAAACCCACCCAGGGTACGGAGCTCCTTTGAAAGACGTCCCTCCAGAGAAGTTCAACCTCACAGCTGTGCCAAAGTCCTACCACTCGCCTTGGCAGCAGGCCATCATCAATGACCCGACCCTGGCTGACACTCTCATCACCCATATGCCCGAACCGGAGCCCCGACCAGACCTGCCAGGGTACAAAAGTTTCAACAGGTAACAACCTTACAGGTGGACAGCAAGTCTTTGAAAGAAAATGTATTTAAAGTGAGCCTATGTGACATTTGGTAGACTGAAGCCAACTTGACCACAAAAAAACTCACTCAGTAATGTCTGAAGTTAACATTAGCCACTGTTTATTGCTTATAAATTCAACTTTTCACTCATAAGAGAAACATTGTGATATTTTGTGGTGCAAAACTGACATAGCCTTGCTTTAATTTATCATGCACACAAATGCTGAGTGAGCAAAACAAGTCGTGTCCTTCATCTAACTCACAATGTCCAAAAGTCTAGCTCCTCACTCTCAGCAGTAATCTCTTATGCCCTCCGGTCAAAGCTTGGCTTTAATTAGTTTCATCACTTCAACTGTCACTTGAGCCCCTCTCATTAGCACATGACGATGACTGTTAAAACACTGTCACTCCGTCGCCTCCAGGGTGGCGACCCCGTTCGGTGGTTTCAGCAAGGCGCCCAGACCTGCTCCCATGAAGCCCCTCCTGGTGGAACCCCTCCCCGACTACCCTGACCTCCATGGGGAGGCTGCGGTGGATCGACCCTCCTTCAACAGATCTGCTCTGGGGTGGGTGTCAGCAGGCGGTCCAGTCCCACTCCCTGCTGTTTCCCTTGAGCCTGTGCTCCCTGAGTCAGAGGACCTTTGAACCCGTAATGAGGTCACACAGAGATGCTGTCGACTTAGTTGCGGCACCAGAGGTTAATGGTGGTCTAGGGGAACGTTTCGGTCAGAACAGAGTCAGGGTTAGAGAAAGTGTAAGGTTATCATGTATGCAGCATCCCGTGGTTTTCCAGGGATGTTAACTATTGCACTGCTTCATCTTGCTGTACAGTAGGCAGAGACACTACTGGAATAAATGGAATTCATTGTATAATAATGTGCATAAGAATATTTTATCTTGCAGACACAGGTTTTTGCTCAATAAAATGATGTAGAATGCAAGTCCAACTCTTTTTTTATGTTGAATTTCATTTCCTGCCACTAACACTGTTGGGAGAATTATTTCGAGATGCTTCTGGTTTTGGACATGGGTGCAAATCTGTAACATATTCCACAACATTCCTCCCGGTAATGATTTCACAGTGAGTTGATCCGAGCCTCACTGAAGGATCATTTGAGTGAATGATGCTGCGCCTGTGTGTTATAGCCGTATGCAAACCCATTACTTATCGCATCGTGTGAGAATCCAGAGATACATGTGAGCCACTGTAACATGCCTCAAGGTTACACCGCCTGACAAATCAAATCTGCTTCACTGACACGAGCCGCTCTCACCTTTTGGCAATGCCCAGTCGGGGGAGTGGGTATTGATGGAGGAGCTGCTTGATGAGTTGTGCCCACTTCTTATCTGTCTGTTTATTACGACAGCACTTAGGAATTTATCACAGACATAACGGGCTAAAGCAAACAGACCTGACTGATTAAAAGTTACCAGCAGGTTTTACAAGAGCTGCACAGCCGATGTTCAGAGAGTTAACCGTATGTTTACTCCACTAGAAGGTGAGCAAAGTCCATTATTTAGCCTTTACTTGAATTTCAAGTTTTTTAATGGTTATATTATATTAAATAATAGTGATATTTTAAATCTAAGTTAATTCATTTTATATTAATTTGGTGTGGTTTAATATGATGCAGCATACTTTTAAGGATGTGCTCTAAATGTTTGCATGTACGTACCTATTTAGAGTGCAAGAAATATATCAGCACTTTATATTACCGACGTGTCTCTTTACTGTCTTGAACCCTTTTGCACATTTACTACGGCTTCTTAACTGACAATGGTATCAGAAAACCTGAGGCAGTGAAGAAGGTCATATGTTTCACAGCCCTTTTCCAGCTCTTTTATTTTTCTGTTAAGATCACACTCTTTCCTTGTGCTCTCTCAGTATTGGAGCTTAAAGCCAGAAAAGAGCATATCCACTTGTTTCAACTGTGACCACAAGTTTAAAGTGCTAGTAACTAGTCTTAGTATGAAATGTACAGTCGCAAGAATCATAATTTCAAGGCTCAAATGTAATGGGTGAAAATGTGATGTGACGGATACACAATGATGGACAGTCTGGAGGTCAGTTAGCAACCCGGTCACCAGAATAAATGTTGGCACTGTATGTTTTTGCAAACCTTGGATATGTAACAATTGTAAGTTATCATGTTGCAGTTATATTGAAATTGTGTTTCTTCGTAATTCTTTGTTTCTACAGTTACATTTAGGCATGAAAACCACTTGGATGTGCTTAAGAAACGATCATTTCTTGGCTTAAAACACCTGGTTTTGGTGGCAAAATCACGGCTGGCAATGACAGCAATGTCCCACCCCAAAAAATAAAAATGAAAACAAATAATTAAAATAAAATTTAAAAATTAAAAAATGTTGCGGTGGCACAATCGTCGCTGGAAATCCACCAATGTCTCTCTAAAAAAAACACATGTTTTGTTGGTTGGTTTTTGTGGTCCGTGGACTGCAGCTTGGCAGCTTGGCTGTTTAACATATCAGTGGTTTCTAGAAACATGCAATACCAACATTTTATTCTGGTGACTGGGCTGAAAGAATTGGGCTTGGTGTCAGTCCTCTAAACCAGTTTCTGCTTATTGCTGGTAGATTTTAAACAATTTCTATGAATCAAAAACCTCTTTTGTTATGCTGTTTGTGATACCATGTATTTAAGTTATGTCTACACTTTCACTCACAGTGGTTTAATAATAACAGTAGAAGAGTGCGCCACTTATCCTGCAAATAGCTAAAGATTTGGTGAAGTCGCTCACAAAATCTGCATCCTCATGAAAACTGTGTTTGAGCAGGACAAATGTTTTTCTAGGATATGACTTGTCTATAAGGGAATGTGTTTAATTTTGTTATTGACATCTTTTCTTTCTCTAACATATGAATTAGGAAATGCCTTTTCAGATTTTCCTCAGAAATGTGACTAAGTCCAGCATCAGCATTCCTCGCCTCTGTCGGAGACCCTTTGGAATGTGCAGCTCCCTGCGCCACTCCCATTTCGAGTCCTATTGAATGCCTCCTGCCAGCCTCTCCAGGAGAACGGTGTGTACAGCACACCGACCAGCATCCGACAGTGCCGGTAGCTCTGCCAAGTACCACAGTAAATATTGAGCAGTGTTTATCAAGGGCAGGCATGAACTCTCTTTGAACTTTGATTGTAGCCATTATCAAAATGCAGCAACGGAAATATTATTGGCAGGGACTGTAGCGTAGGCTGAGGGTTGGGGAGCCAGACGATTCAATTATTAGTCTCAAACTGCAACCAGTTTCCCCTCAGGCGTGTTTGCTTTGGCATGAGATGGCACAGTAGGTAGTGGACACCGGATTATAGGCTGTGAGGTCCACAGATTGCTGGGGACAATAGGGTGGCCTAGTGTTTAGAGTGACACTCCCAGGCTGAAAGGCAGCAGTCTAGCACCCTTGAGCAAGAGACTGAACCTGGCATACTTAGTCCTAAATCACTGTGGATAAGAGCATCAGGTAAAGTGAGGTGATAGCATGGTGGAGCCTCAGTAAGCTCAAATGCAGGGCAGTCCTTTTAGAAAATACTTTTAGAGAGGGAGAAACAGCACATAAACACCTGATATGAATCTAAGACTGGAGTGACCACTTGTTACACAACAACAAGGCTGATAAGATGGGAACATGCCGTGTTTGTTTGTGTGTGTTCAACAGGTGCAAGAAGTGAGAAGGACGTCTAATTCGACTCAGTTTCATCATTCAATCCTGTGGTTTGTACTCTGTGACCCAGCCCAGTCTGTAACTGAACAGCTGGCCTTCAGCATCTTCCTCAGCAGTTAACAATGGAGTCTGCTGCTGTTGCATTCACTGTCATATCTCAAAGCGAAAGTCCCACGGGCTTCCATCTGCGCACACAGCACCGAACACCGAGTGTGCAGCATGCTGCTGACACAGACGACTGCTAAAAGGTTGAGCCACATGACCAGCCGATAGCTTTTCTCTGAGTATGCACAGGTCGGGTGAGAAAACAAAAGTGGTGTGAGATAAAAACTGCAAGGGCACCGAGCAGTGCCTAGAGGGAGACATACTGTGTGGTTCTCTCAGAGGTTTTAGCACACAGACACACTTTTCAGAAGAGTCAGATTTTAGGTGGAGTTTATGCTCAAATCTTCCACCAGACATGTTGGAAATCTGGGATTAACCTTGTAATATTGTGTTAAAGTGACCTCGTAACATGAAAATCCATAAAAAGCTGAAAAGCACACAGCTAATGGTTCGTGAACATTTTCATGACATCTGATGGCACGATGGATTTGTCAAGCATGATGGATGTGTGCAGCAGGTGGTCATTCTTGCAGGATAGTGTAAAGCCGAATGGGATATCTAAAAATATGAGTGAAAATAAAGCATCCCAGGGGTCAGTGGGGTGGTGTTGGGTTGCCGCCGAGGTGAGGTGACAGGGTCAGGGCATACATTCCTCTCCTGAAATGACGCAATGGGTTTAACTCATGTTTCACCCTGAGAAAGTTTTCAGTCCGAGGTACCTGCATGCACGTATATCCATAAACAAAGATGACTGTGCTTGTATTTAATTCGAATGCCAGATCTCTTCGTACAAATAATAAATACGGAAAATGATTGTCAAGCAATGTGTACTCATTTTCATCAAGTGCTGATGTTATCCACACACAAAAAAAATTACCGCTGGAGAAACCACTTTATGGAAGAATGCACACTGCTGGGCTAGTAATTAGCCTGTTTGGACAAATGAACATTCAAGATTGTGTTACTGTTTACTTGCAAAAGCCCCCGAGACCAATTAGAGCTGTGTTCCCTCACAGTAATCCGACAGCTGACTTTTCACTCTTGGGGCTCATCTATATTCCTGACTGGTCAATATTTGTTAACCTCCTTTCTTTGGTTAATAGTCAGTGAAGAATTATTAACTTACAACTGCTAACACAACCAGTGAGTAAACAAATTGAGGCCTTCAGGTGACAAGTGAAAAGCTCTTTGCTCAACTAATATGGCTGGGAACGAGCAGAAAATACAGCTTTAAATGTCCTTAATGTGCAGATAGAGAGAAAATAGCTCATTCTTGATGATGTTGCCAGGGAGAGAATAATTAATGTACCTTATCTTAGTCAATGAAGGGTATTACTTTCCCTACTAGACAGCACTGAGGCGATAGCATGCTTTTCCTGTGCGCTGCAGCTACCGCGGATACGGCAAACACAGCAGTGAAATATATCACAGTCACTCCTTTGGCTGCACTCCAGAATTAATGTAACATGGTCAATTGCCAAAAAATGATGCTTATGTCATCTACTTTTCTGCAGTAAAACAATGAGCACAGTCCTACTCAGGGGTTAGACTGAAAATGGAAATTACTACAAATGGATAAAGAGAAAAATAAATGCATAAAGAAGAGTCTGGGGTGGACAAAGTCTCTCACCTGCTCCTACAGTATGAAACACACCCATACTTGGACATCATGTTATGTTTGTGGTAATGCAGTGTCATCACGACAGCACACAAATACCATTCCAGTGAGTAATATACAATGTAGACATGATGAACTAAAGGGAAATGTGTTGTATGCACTGCACTGACATGAATTTTCAGATGTCTCAACCAAGAAGAAGTGGCTGAACATAAAGTTCCCACCAAGAAACGTTACTTAATTGTTCTTGAGAAACATGAGAAGTGGTTTCATTCCAAAAAAACTCATCATTACAGGTTTTTAATCCCCGGTTAAATATAGCAGGAGTTGCTTCAGAGGCGTCGCCTCCCCGTGGCCTCCATTGTGGCGTTGGAGCATGTCTAATCTCTTAAGTAACAACGGGGCATTCACCATTGTGTGGTTCCTCATTAGTAGTAATTCAATAGCAACACAACGAATGGTGTTCACAGAAAACATTACAAGCTTTGCTTTGTTCAGCCATTACACTTTGTGCAGCTTTTGCAGAAAGTGACAAAAGGGCAT